CTGAAGGAGAGATAGCCCAGCTGCTTTACTATATTTAATTGCTTATTAACTTTCTATTTAAAATTGTATTTTTAATTTGCCTTATGAATTTGAATTTTAAAAATATTTTTGCTTAGAATATATTTTGCCGACTTAACATGTTGGCAGGATCTTTGAAAAATGCCGTTGCATTTTGCACTTTATCTTGTGAAAGATAAATCACATGTATGATAAAATCATTTCATATGATTTTATCTTTCTCAAGATAAAGTGCAAAATGCAACGGCATTTTTCAAAGATCCTGCCAACATGTTAAGTCGGCAAAATATATATTCAAAGCAAAAATATTTTTAAAATTTTAGATTTTGTAAAGGAAAATACAATTATTTTTGAAATTGTCGACAACTTTGAAGCGGATCCGAAACAGAGGTAAGCGCAAGAGACAATTTCCAAAAAAATAATGAGGAGCTTTAACTCAAAAGACGCAAGGCCAAAAATCAACGCAATGCACTCACCCCTGATCCGAAATTTTGAGAGAAGAAAAATTTTAAATACTAAACAATGACATGAAACACAACCAGAGGTGGGTCGGAATTCCGGTTTCCGACGTTTTTTCCTTCCGATTTCCGAAAAAATTTTGATTTCCGGCTCTTCCGATTTCCGACACCTCGGACTGTTTCGACCCTCCTCTGAACACAACTAAAATAATAACATTATCAAAAACCCGATTTTAAACAAGCATAACTAGACCCAATACACCGGGTCTAGTTTGTGCCCACCTGTATAATTGCCACAATTAAAACAATTCTAAAACTCATATAATAATTTGATTCTAGATAATAATTTAATTTTTTTTTCTTCAATTATTTCTAACCCATTAATTTTCGATTTAGATTTTTATAAGGGCGCGCAGACATATCGGGACGGACATATCGGGATATTTCAATGTATGAACAGTTACCCTACTTGTTGCTATAGTAAAGCAGCTGGGCTATAGCTATTTCTCTCCTTTAACTAGTGCAAAAGGTTATTCGGCGGCTGGGAGCGAACTAGCATCTTCAGTAGACCGGACTGCTGTGTTAGCTCTTACACCACGCCGCCTACTGCTCCGCCTTAGGAAATTAATAGCTATATGCTTTACACTATGAGGGTTTCTTGTTTTAATGAAATGATAAAAATATAAATTTATTTAATTAATTAAATTGTTGAGAAGATATAGAGGAGTTAAAATTTTTAATTTTCCTCTTAATGATTCCATTGCCCTGTTTATAAAAAACGCTCGCTTATGATGCAAGAATAGCGCGCGCAATACATTCCACGATTTTCAACAGTGCATCATTGATTCAGTAAAAATATCTTTAATATTTTTGAGTCTTGAAAAGAAAAATTAGGCCCTATACGCAAATAAGGGCGACTTGATTTTTTTTATCACCCCACGACAACACCATCCCAACACCCTTGATAACTTCTCAGACCCTTAATCCCCCGATCATCGACATTCTTTAATCCCTCTACTCTTCTAATATTCAAAATCAGCCAGCTTTATCTCGCCAGATATCCCTTAACCTCGATTTGTTGAAATTTGTAAATTATTCAGACCTGCTCCAGGCTCCGGAGTCGGTGATTTTCTGCGCAGCTCCATGTTGGAATATTTATTTAGAATATTTATTTAAAAGCGTTAGAATGTGACAAACTCTTAATGGGATGTTCTGGATGAAAATTTGTCCAAAAACCGGCATCGGCTAACCAAAAAACAAGGAGTACCGTATTATCTCTATTAGAATGCCCCCTTCCATTTGAATGCCCCCCCTCTAATAGAATGCCCCTCTAGCGGAAGATCGAAAAATACAATGCCCCCTCCATTTGAATGCCCCCCTCTAATAGAATGTGATTGAAAAATAGAATGCCCGGGCATTCTATTAGAGATAATACGGTAAATCAAAAACCGGGAACCAAAACCGGGTTCTAAAACCGGCCATATCCGAAAACCGAGGGTACCTGTTAATAACCTGTCGCCAATAATCCTAATTTAAACCTTTAAAATACTAAAAAAAATTTCAATTATTTCTAGTTTACGATTAAAGCTTTTATAAGGATGCTTATAAAACCCGCATTACAAAGGACAGAAAATTAAAAATCTTGTAATCGTGTTGCTGAAAGAATTTCTTTAATATTAATGAAATTATAAAAATATAAATTTATTTAATTAATTAAATTGTTGAGAAAATATAAAAGGAGTTAAGATTTTTAATTTTCCTCTTAATGATTCTCCATTGCCTCGTTGACAGAGAAACGCTCGCTTATGATGCGAGAATATCGCGCGCAATACATTCCACGATTTTCAAGAGTGCATCATTGAAAAAATTAATAGGTATTTTTGAGTCTTGAAATAAAAATTAGGCCCTATACGCAAATACAGGCACCAGTGCTGGGTGTTTGCCGTTTGTTGGCTCAGGCTCCGGGCTTTTAAAAACTTGGCTCCAGCTTCAGGCTCCGGAGTCGGTGATTTTCTGAGCAGCTCCATGTTGGCATCGGGCTTAGGATGAAAAATCAATGAATAATATGGGAATTTAAGTGGATTAAGGGGGAGACTTATAAACAAGGTAACTTTCTAAATTCTTCAAACATTTCCTCATTCCCGAACGGATCAGAAAAATTATATATTAGAGGGGATGTCCAACCATTTTTATCTGAAATGGAAATTATGTAAATATTACTTGAATAAACTGGAGTTTAAAAAATCCACGCCAAAACGGCCTGTGCAAAAGCCGCGCGAATACAGATAGTTTTAATTCTCAATTAAAAATGATAACTTTTATCAAAAAATTATGAAACAAATATTGTTTAATGTTAATCTATTTGTAAACCCTATAAAAAATTTTAAAAAATAAATCCCAAAAAAAATACGTTATAAACGTGTATCGTTTTTTTTTTTGTTAAAAACTTTTTACATCTCTAAAAACTTTGTCTTAATCCATAATTCTTTTGTTTTTCTTCACAATGTCATCTTAAAATCGAATTTTAAAAAATTCAAATTAAAAAATTTTTCTTAAATAATTTACCCAAACTCCAGTTTTCATGATTTCCATAATTGAATTGCTTAAATTTTTATTAAAAAATTTAAATTTAATTTTAAATTAGCCAATAAACCTCTTCCTCGTTTGCCAACATCTTCCCCAAGTTTCGATTCATCGATGTGTTTGAGGTTTCAGAGTTGAAATCGCTTTGATGATTTTTTGACATGTACGGATTGTGTATTTCTTGAGGTATTGGCGACTTATAGGGAACAAATGCAGAGTTAATTTGGGAGTTATCGTTCATTCCAAATGTGTTTCCAGACGGATAATTAGGTCGAGAATTGGGTAACTGATTGTTTGGAGTTTGTTGAACTGAATGTATATTCCCTAAATAACTTTGTGTTCCCAATGCATGATTCTGTAAATGATTAATGTTGCTATTATGTCCTTCCATCCATGGTTGGCTATGCTGAGAAGAATGTCCAAAATTATCCAAATTCGAGCTATGATCTAGTCCAATTCCTCCTTGATTTCCAAAATTTGTAGGATGAGTTAAATGGTGATTATCTGGAATTTTTTTTAGTTTTATATGGGACGTTTTATGGGGTGTTTTTATATGATGTTTTCTAATATACTACGTGTAGATTAAGCCGCCATACATCCCCATGAGTTAAAAAAGAAAATGAAGCTTCCAGAAATAAAAAAACACAAATTATAAAAATATTATTTTATGAAGATCTTAAATATGTGTCACACATTCAGAAAAGTTGAACACAAAATTTTTATTAAAACAAAATACTTTTGGAATTATTATTTAATATTTTGACTGCATTTTAGTCGGACTTTAATTTAGAACTTTGTCTACCAAGCAGTTTCATATTGAATTTATAATTAATAAATACAACAACCATTAATGTTGTATGTTCCAACACTGCTTGCTCCTTGATTACCTTGAGAATTTTGAAGCAAATGTTGATTATGATCAAAACTCGATGGTCCTTCATTTGTAGAAGGATGGAGAACAAAATCTGTAGCATTCGAATCTGGATATAACTGGCTTTGCTGATTTTGCATATGGCTGATCATTCGTTGGGCTTGGAGGCCAGTGTTGAGGCCAGTAACTTTAAATTTAAAAATTTTGCGAATTTCATAAGCAAAATTTTTCTGTATACGGCTAATTTTGCCATAAACTTTAATCGAAACGGTAAATAGGGGTGAAGATCCCGAGTTGTTTTATGTTTCAATAGTATTTTCACTAAATAAATAAGCTTATTCCATGAATAAGGAAACTGCTATAAAATTTTTTTGTAATCACATTTAAATTTTTAATAAAGATAATTAAATACAGTATTCCGCATAATATTTGAGATTAGCAGCATCAACATTAATAAACGTCGTTGGTTGTTTTGGCTTTTTTTTTCTGTCCGCAAAAAGTTTTTTATGTCCGCAAAATTTTTTTCTGTCCGCAAAAAATTTTTCTGTCCGCAAAAAATTTTTTCTGTCCGCAAAAAATTTTTTCTGTCCGCAAAAAATTTTTTCTGTCCGCAAAAAATTTTTTCTGTCCGCAAAAAATTTTTCTGTCCGCAAAAAATTTTTTCTGTCCGCAAAAAATTTTTCTGTCCGCAAAAAATTTTTTCTGACCGCAAAAAATTTTTTGTCCGCAAAAAATTTTTTGTCCGCAAAAAATTTTTTCTGTCCGCAAACCCCTATTTTCTACCATTTCTTACCTATAAATTACCTAGATATGTATTTGACATAAAATGTGAAATAAAAATTCTTGATTATGATGGAGGTTTATGGGATGCATCTGTTTTGGCTGTTTCTTGTGCCATAACACATTTTAAAAGAAGTGATGTTAGCTATAATTCTATAACTAAAAAACTTATTGTGGTAAATTTTAAATAAAAAATTCTAAATTAAATTTTAAAAAGCATTCAAATGATAAACCACCAATTCCTTTGACTGTTTATTACAAACCGGTAACTACTACATTTGGATTTATTAATGGAATGTAAGTTTTTCTTTTAAATTTTTAAAAATCAAGAAATCGAAATATCAGATAGCCAAAATGCTAAAAATCTGTCTTATACCCCTTCCGTTTATTCAACCTCCCATTTATACCATACAAACTCGAGTCAAAAATTTAACATCTCCTGCTTATCTCAACCATTCCCACATATACCAAATAGCCAAAATGTCTATATACTTCCCCTTCTTATCCATTTTTATACTTCCCCTTCATATCCATTTATCCCAGATATGTTCTCACAGCTCTTAGTTATCCTCTTTCAAGAAAGTTTTGAAATTTGGGATAAAATGTCTCAAAATAAAAAATTTTTAATTTTTTAAGTGATGACCCAATAATAGACCCAACAATGGAAGAATCTCTTTTAGTAGACGGATTTTTAATTATTGGGGCTAATCATCGTGACGAAATTTGTTTAATTAGTCAAAGTGGAAATTTAAATGTTAATCAAAAATCGGTAAGCAGAATTTTAGAATTTTCAAAAAAAATTTTTTTTCAGATCGAAAAATGTTGTGAAATTGCTTTAAAAAATGTTAAAGAATTAATTGGGTATATTAACACAATTAAAATTAAATAAAAAATTTATATTTAATTTTTAATTGTTTTAATTGTTATTATTGTTTTTTTACTTATTAAAAAATAAATTATATTAAAATTTATTTTTAGTAAAAAAAAATTCAATTTATTTTTGGAACACTTAATTATTTAATTATTGTTATTCTTAATTTTTAAAAACAAAAAAAAATTAATTTATACACTAAAATTTACGTAAAACTATACTAAAAACAATCCCCCCCCCCTTTCTCTTAAATTTATATTTTTTTAACTTTTTTAAACCCGCTAATAAACAAAAAATTTTCTTTTCGTCTTCCCAAGTATCTATTAAAATTCCAAACTAACACGTCAAAAAATTTTTTTGTCCAAAAATAATAATTTCCTTCAATAAACAGACTCTCTAATACTTAACCAATACTCACACGTAATTATTACATTTTTTAAATTAAATACCTACTAATTGCTATTTTTACAAAAATTCTGTATTTTTAAAAATTCTTTTTTTCCCTTATATTTTCTCTCCTTTTAAGTTAATTTTGCAGAAATTTTGCATTTAATTTTGTAGAAAATTAATTTTTAATTTTTTCAATATTCTGCAAAATTTATTTTTTCTGAAAATTTTTTTCGGAAAAATTGCCATTTACATTTAAATATTTTTTGAACCAAAAAACTACACACATATTAATTAATACTAAGCAAAATACCCAAATAAAACACCCCACAAATATCTCCCTCCCCTCTCATTATTTATTAAATTAAATCAAGCACGCACAAAAAATGCCTTAAGGCGCTACTCATCTCCCAAAAAATCTCCTTATTTAGATATTTAAATAAAAAACAAAAAAATATTTTTTAAGGTTATGCCATCATCACTTTTTTCTCCTTAATCTTGCCAAATTAATGTTTTCCTTCCCTTCCCTTACTCCCTTCCTTTCCTCTCAATTTTGGCCTCCCCCTCAAATTTAGTTTATATGTACTTATTAACACGGACAGCAAAAAATGTTTTTTTTTGACTGCTGACAGCTGGTTATATTTTTTGTGTGTTTGATGGATCCTCTTGCTTATAAGGAAATGTGTTTAATTTTTTGCTTATCCCTCCCCCCCTCTTCCTCCCTCCCCCTTCCCCTCCCCCTCTTCCTTCTACTTTACATAAATGTGCCAAACAAAACGAATACCTTTTTCCCTTCACTTAATATACATATTCATTTCCTCCTTAATTTTATATGCTAAACTAGAATATAAATATTTATCCTATCCCTCCAGGTCTAATTTATTTAGCAATTTATTTAGCTGAAACTGCGTGTTTTTTAAAGGCAGACAAAAGTTTCCAGTTCTCCGTCCTAGTTGATAAAACAAAAAAAATTAAAAATTGGACTTTGTATGTTCGTGTCAATCGTCACTTTGCTTTAATCAATCTTGCCTCAGAATATTTTATGGGACGACTTTCACGAGACTTTCATGGGACTATTTAATAATATTAAGTTCATGCTCTGGAAAAAATTTGCATATGTAGGAGATGGAATAGAACCATCATGGAATGAGCCGCAACCGAAGCACAACTGAATGTGCTATCATACAAGGTGTTGTGTCCGTACTCCGTACTTGCAGAAAGAATAAAAATGAAAATAAATGATCCAGCATCGGGTTGAATGGTGGCACAGTCGGTTGTGCTTCGGTCTGCGCTCACTTCGTGATGGTTCAATTCCATCTCCCATCCTCTGAATTTTTCCACAGCATGAACATCGTATATAGTATACGCAAGCGTAAGAACCATAGAGTTTAACTCGTAAAACCGGCTACTTATATCCGCAGATTGGACGCATATATAATTCAAATAAAGGTAAAACATAATGTGTGTAGGTTTTTTTGACACCCCAACAATAAATAACACAGCATTTCGATATTTACACTTTCCTCAGTTTGTTTAGTTTGCTATAAAACAGAATCTAAATTTTTAAAATATTTATTTTACAGACCTCTTCAAACATTTGATGACGATCCCTCTAAAAGTAAATTTAATAAATAAAAGAATTTTTAAATCATTGTCCTAAATGTATAATGGATATATAGAAACTAATGTGATTAAACAGTAAAATTTTCATTTTAGTTTAAACTAAACTAAGTAATTAAAATAAGATAAATTAATTTAATTAACAAATAATAATATTTTCTATATTTTACTGACCATTTGGTGTTTGGAGGAGGAGGTAATGGAAACACCTCGCGCACAGAAAACCCTTCTACTTGATACCATTCTCTCGGTTGATTTTGATCATGACTTGGTGAACCACCTTCAACATGAGGAGGATTTTGCTGGGGAGGTTGTGGTGTTTCCTGTGGTGGACGGGGTAAACGACGCCCACGTCTAAGATTTTCTTGCGCCTGTTGCGGCAAAGGTAAACGCTGACCTTCAGCTTGAGCTAAAATAATTAAATTAAAATTTGTTAGCTTTTCTTTGCAACAAATAAATGATATATTGTTAAAAATGTCTTATAATCTCTATGTAAAGTTACTTGACCTTGTTGTTGATGTCGATGTTGGATCTGATGTTGGGGTGAATGTGAATCTATTAATAGTTTTATTAGTTTTTTTCAATATTTTATACTATACTAGGTCAATGTTATCAATTAAAACTTTTACCCAGCAAAACCATTATTCTGGTATATCTACATTTATTAGGAACTGTGCCCTAGGAGCTGATACTATTTAAGCATTATTCAAATTATTAAAAACCGGGTCTGGGCCAGGGTGTAAAAACGCATTTCCGGGAGTTATCCTTGAAGGGAGGATTTTAGGCTTATCTGAAAGCCCTTGAAATTTGCTACAAGATAGCAAAAATCTTATTTTTCAGAAAAAATCCAATTAAGAGACATTTACCAATATTCTTCCATACCGATCTTATAGGGCATTTTATGGGGCAATTAGTCTTTTTTTCGAGACTGGGAGGCGGAGTGGGTAAACGATGCCGACGACTAGGATGTTGTGCCAAGGTACAGGATCTAGGTGCCAAGGTACAGGATGAGCTTCAGCTAAAATATTTAAAATAACAAATTTTATATTGGCCTTGCAAAAAATGTCAGTTTGTTAAAAATGTCTATTATAATCTGCTATGTAAAGTTACTTCTCTCTTGATTTTAATCACGATTACCTTCTTCGACATGATGAGTAGTTTGCTGTGGAGGTTGTGGCGTTTCCTGTGACGGAGGGGGTAAAGCAAAGATCATGGTACTAGGATTTTGTTGCGCCTGTGGCGACAAACGTCCACGATGACGTCCATGATGAGCTTCAGCTTCATCTAAAATATTTAGGTTTTATTTAGTTTTAGTTTTAAAAAATTTAAAAAATTTATTAATATAAAAAATAAATTACCTCCGTGTTTGCTTTGGAAACATCCAGCATATACTCCTTGAAAATAATTATAATTAAATAAATATAATTTATTAGTAAGGTTCGAATTTATATGGATGAAAAGCGCAAAATATTAGCAAAAATTTAAAAATATAAATAGAAAAACGTAAAATTTAGAGTAAAATATGGAAAAAGTGACCAAATAACTGTTAATTTTATTTTAGATTTTTAAGAATTTATTGCGAAAATTGAGTATTTTCAGTTAGTTATTCAATTTTCCGTTAATTTTTTAAAAAGAATCAAAATAATAATTAACATTTTACTAAAAATTGGTAATTTTAACTTTTTTTAAAACTTTTTTTTTCGCAGGGACCCCAATTTTCCTGGATTGCCCAAAATTCGGCATATTTTGACCTATTCGGATTTTTAAACTTTCTTGACACTTAAAAATTGGCTTTATATGTTTTGGCACTTTTCTTTACTATTAGGGTATAAACTAAGTTTTAAGCCACACTTGGTTAGGCAGCTTAAATAATTATAAGAATTCAACAAAATGCTATCAGAGTGCAAATTATTATGTATAATCCTATGAAAGTTTCGTATTTTTTGTCGAAAACTACATTTATATCCATTTTTGTATTTATCTTCCAGCCCTCTCTACCTTCCTTAAATTTGGAGATCTTCTTTCAAGTGTATTTTCGTTTCCAAATCTTCAAGAGTATACTCATATTCGTGTATAAAAATTGAGTAAATTGGAGATATGAAACTTGAGATATAAATTTTCAAACTTAAATGGTTAAAGGGGACTAAAAACTTAGTTTACACATTAATAATAATTTAATGATGAGCATATATTTTTGGACTTTTTAGCCAAAACCTTTAATAAATGACGAAATATGGAATAAATAATGGATATGTTTGCTAAGGAATAAATGAATTGGTTCAGGAAGAATTAATTTCCATATTATTTCCAACTTTATTTATTACCCGTCAACAAAAGCAGATCCAAAAACAAGCATTGGATTAGAATCAACTCTAAAACATTCATTTGAACGGCGTAGATTATCAATACTGTGATTTGAATCTTGAATGTTTAAATTCACACCATGTATATAATTATAAATTTTTAAATCAACAGAATAAAAATTAAGAATTTTAATTCTAAGAGTAAAATGTAATGGTAAGAGGAATAGGGAGTGAAGAGGGACTCCTCATGTAGTTGCTTTAATAGGCTGACTTTAGCGCCTGCCCCTTAATTAATCGAATGAAAGATCGTAGAAGATTGAAGACAAAAAATTGAAGATCGAAGAGGATCGAACGTAAAAATATTCTCATGTAGTTGCACCTATCGTCTGACACTAATTATATGTTGCACTAATCGGCTGGCTTAATGTTATTGGCCCCTGCCTTAATTAACCGAATGAAAGATCGAAGAAAAGGATAAAAATTTGAATAAGACCGAAAGAAAAAACATTCCCATGTGGTTGCACTTATCGGCTGACTGAAAATTTTTTGGCCGCGTGCCTTTATTAAGCTGCCATTTTTGGGTTGACATAGATTTAGCATCAGAGATTTGTTTCAAATTTCGATTTGAAAGTCTATTTACATTTTCGAAAATAGACTTTTCTTGTTTTTCTTTCAATTTTTGTAATTATTTTCGATTCGTTTTTATGTTATACATACAATTTTTTCCAATATGATAGAACGTAATTCTTGTTATGTACGAGACTTGTATGTCTGCGTACTAACAAGAATAACAACAAGATAAGCCAGTATCTAACAACTGTGCTTTATCTACAATAATATATACAATAAGGCGAACAATAGGAATATGGCAAGATGCCGAATATGTGGAGACAGAATAGAATAACACTGCGACAATAAGACTCAGACCGCGACTGAATAATAGGAGGGCTTTTATACTAAGCCAATACCCAACAATTCTTGTAATTAACGAGAACTTGAGTTATTCTCGAAACTAATTTATCAATGAATTCTATTTATTAATATTCAAATATTTATTTTATCAAACATCAACATTTAGACAGACATGTTTCGCTCTAGTATAAATCAAAATTAATAAAATAATAATTGAAATATTTAATATTAAGCAAAATCTGCTTTAAAATGTTTTGAATTTTTTTTATCTGTTAGGGTTTAGAATAGAGTTGTCGGTTTCAAACACAAATTAACGAGAGTTATCGAAGGTTTTCTATTCAGTTTATCGGTTCGGTTACCCGAAGAATCAGGTGAAACCGACAACCCTAGTTCAGAGATTTCTATAAATTTATCAAACATTTTCTCATTCTTGAGGTAAAAGAGAAAAATATATTAAAGGGGATAATAAGAGAAAAAATTACTAAGAGTTTAATATTCTTAGAAATGTAAATTATTTAAGTATTCAAATTTTAATTATTCCACCTGCTTGAAAATATGAATAGACCAGTCAGAGCCTTAGTAGTTGTTTTAATTGAAAAAGATACGAAATAGTTTATACATAGAATTAAATTAGGCATTTTTTAATTAAAAAAGATATATTTTGTAAAGTCAATTTTTAAATAAATTATCAAAATACAATGAAATCCTTTCTATTTTCGTTCGATTTTGAAATCTATACCACTATAAGTACAGTTACGTCCAACATAATTTATCAAGAAAACAATATTCGGATTGTCAATATTGGCAACTTCATAGCTAGAAGAATACATTACATCCCCATATTGAATAAATTGTTTTGTTTTGACACCTTCTCGATTATGCAAATAATTAAAATTCCAGACTGACACCCAATCACGAACTTTAAATTCAATTTTGGACACAATAGATGAACAATTTGTTGAAGTTGTAATTTTCTAAAATTTTATAGTTAACGAAACAAAATTAAAAATCTCTCAAGTCTCTAATTAATTATTGAAGACCATCCCGGTTAAAGTAAAGTTTGTGTTACTGGCTAGAGTAAAGACCCCACCGGCTAATGTATACCAGTGCTTAGTCTGGCTCCGGGAGCTAGCTCCGGAGCTGGCTCCGCGGAGCCAAAGCCGTAGCTAAGATTTAAAAACACGGAGCCAGGAGCCGGAGTCAACAAGGGGTTGGGGCCGTTTTGGCTCGAGAACAAAAAAGTGGCACTTAGGCGAGACGTTATGTATCTCTAATAAAAGCACACTAAAATTAAATTTAAAAATGAAACTCAGAACTTTAACTAGAATTTTTATGGTATTTTTCTTACGTTCTCTATTAATTCAAGTATTGAAGGATGCAAGCTTGAAGTTATACAAACATGAGGAAATCTAGCTCCATCATTAAAAATATCCATAATAATTCCATTACATTGTTCCGTATTATTGCACAAAGTAAACTCAACAGAAAATTTAATAAAAGTCTTCAAATGATCTTTAACAAATTTCATTGCCTCAGATTCAAATTTCTCAATACAATATTCCAAAATAGTTTGTCTGGTATTAAGCTCCATTACTTCATTTTCAAAAAGTAATTTAATTAAGACTGGATTGAAAATAATATTATCAAATTCAGCTTTTTCATAACCACAACGAAAAAGTTTTTCTAGCCAATAACGGACAATACACATTTCTTTGACATTTTTAGGAAATAAAGGTAGCTCCAAAAACATGCGGTATATATTTTTTGAGCCTTTAAAAAATAATTTTAGTCTGATATTACCAAGGTGGACGCTTCACTAAAGTGTACCAATCTCTTTATTTAATTGGTCATTGAATGGGGCGATACCTACAACCATAGACGATACATTCACGTCAGAAGTGGATCGGAAATGACGAAGGTGACGAAATCGAAAATGGTTCAAAACTCGGAACCCGGAAATCCCACTAAATTTTCCAAAATCGGGAAAAAACTGACCATTTCTTACTTCAACTAAAACGCGGACTGGGGGCGAATTAGGAATCTTTAAATCTTATTTTTTACACTTCTGCTACACGTGTGTATTAATTAGAGATCGGAACGGGATCGAGACCCGGTCCTTTTTCCCGGTTGTTTTGAAGATGGCGGGAGAAACCGGGATCAGGAATTCCCGGTTTCCCGGTCCGGGTCCCTCACGGTCAACCTTAAGAACCCGTTTCCCGGACCCGGTTTTTTCAAAATTCCGATCTCTAGTATAAATCCCATTAAATAGTAATTTAAGCCCAAGAATTTTAATAAGTCAGACATTTTTTAAATATAGGTATATAAAACAAAATTTTACATTCTTCATCAGTTAGGTGATGTTTATACAAAAGAATAACAGCTTCACAAGATTCATTAAAACTCAAAAATAGAGGAATACGTTCACTCACTGCTTGTTCCCACTTAAATTAATTTTTGGTCTCAATCCATCTCTCAAACTAGGGTAAACTGAAAAAATGTTTGGAAGTATCGGTGACTTTTAACTTCGAAGAAAGGTGTCTTAATGATTGAGGAGGTGCTCCTAGTACACGCTTGGAAATTTTTCATGTGAGAGATGGATTGAGATTACTAAGGATCGGATTTATATTTAAATAAGGCACAAAAACGACCTTGGTCATGAACAAGCTTTGACTGACCAGTGTCTGACCATTGAATTCTAATAGAATAAAGACAGAAATAACCAGTGATAGATGTAATAAAAAATGGAGAGACAGTGGTCAGTTCGCGGGCAGGGCCGCTTCAGTGATTTATTTAAATATAAATCCGAGCCCTAGAGATTACTATTAAAAATTTAAATTAATTTTCACCTTTTCCTTGAGATGACCGTTTAATGAAAAGTCATATGAATTAGCTTTAATATCAATTTCCTGATAACTAGTACTTGATTGCTCCATAACAAATTTATCGACCTTTAAAAATATACCTAATTTTTCAAAAAAACTTTTTAAACATACAATTTTAATATCAAAATAATCACGTGCCAATTCATTTTTATATTCATTAATAAAGCTATTAAAATAGCGATTGGTTTTTTGGAAAGTTAATAATTTATTGAAATTGAGATATTTAAAAACATCAAGTTTTACTTCGGCTGATAAATTGTTTAAAATTTTTGTAGGAATTTTCTCCTGAAATTGAGGAAAAAAATTTATTGAAATAAGTGTGTCGTTGTTTTTCTTAATTTGTATAACTCGGCTTAAAAAATAGGAAAAATTACCAAGCGCAATAAGACTCAAACACGGGTGGGGGCTAACTCGAGGAATTCCAAATCGCGGTACAGACAGGTCACGGAACGACAAATCACGGAATTTTTAACATTCCGATTTGGAAAATATTCCGTGTTTTGATCATTCCGTGAGTTACCCCTACTCAAATACCTATTAGAAACACGAAAAACGTTCGCTTAACGATCTCCCATTGAACTTATTTAATTTTAGGAAACTTGAAAGACTTTATTACAGAACATCGACAACTCTTAACAAACATTCTAATAAAATTTTACAATCGAGGTTTCAGTTAACGACAAATTAATTGAAGCATCCTCCTGGTCGCCTTTACCAACTTCTTTATTACAATCACAACACTTTTGTATTATATCATCAGTTTGAACGGATATATTTTTGAATTTAGTAGTCCGCTCCTCCGGAAAATAAATAATCCATCCTAATATCCATTTCAATAAATTGAATAAGAATTTTAGAATCCAATTTTTGGTTAATGACGAAAAAAATGAAGCCTCCTTATCTACTTTATCAACTTTTTCTGTTAAAGTAGTCGATTGGCCTTTATCTTCAACTTTAGATAAATCACCATATAAATCCAGATTTGCATTATTATTACTTGGAAGAGACATTATTTTTAGAATAATCAACTAAAAAATAATTTTTATCAAAGAAAAAGAAATCCTAAACAATCTCATAAAGAAATAAAAAAATTAAATGCGAATTTTTATATTAAAAAGTTTCAAAATAATTTAGAAGGAATGAATAAATTAAATGCAAGAAGGAAAGTTTTTATATAAAAATTTGTTGCTTTGGGAGTATTTCCCCGTAAGTCCGCAATGTCTGTCCGCAACCTTTTTTCCCATTTCCTCCTCCTTCCAACATTCTTCTCATAGAGATTAAGAATAGTCAAAGGTTAATAATTGCCAATAAATAATTTGAATTATGTAAGGAGGCAATATTTACTATGAGGGAAGCATCATTTATGAATTAAATTTGTTTTAAATTTATGTTTTAAATTTGTTTGCGGATCAATGAATATTTTTAAACTTTTAAAAACCGGGGAAGGAACCAGTAATTTTTTACAAAGAATATTCTACCAATAAAAAATGGGTACTTATTTGGTCCCCCAATCAATTTTTCTGGTAAAGATGGACAAAATGGCCCGTATTCTGAATAATGTAGAACACATCTAGCTGTGTCAAATGAACCAAAATCAACGTAATCCGATAGGTTTAGTATTATGTCATCTTTTTGTCAGCACGTCCAATTGATTTGATCACACAGCTCGACGTGTTCTTTATCAATCAAGCTCTTTGTTGATTACTCTCCAGGTTGATTTAATTAAATAATTACAATTCATAAATTTTCAATGGACGAAGTTTTGGTCGATCGAAGCTCTGCCCTGTTGGAAAAATTACATAACCAAGTTTTTAACTATATGTTTGTCATCCAATAATGTTAAACTTGTATTAACAAATTTGTGTAAAAAATACAGGGTGCGGCAAATTAGCGGCCGCTTTTCTTTTGGCTATAACTTTTTTCATTTTGAATGAAAATTGATAATTCTTTTTTTCCTGGAATCCTGATACTCTAAGAATTTTTTTGATACAAAATCGCCTTTAAATTTTATAATTTAGTCTGATTAATCTTCTCTCAAAGTTTAAGCAAGATTTTTTGGATAAAAGCTGGCCTGTATTAAAGGCTATTATTTTGTTATGAGAAATTTATATATCATTCGAATCAGCTCTCCAATCTGATTCGAATGACGTCAAAATCAGGCGTCTATCACGTAAATGAACCGAGATATGTCTCACTGAATGATAAATTAAAATAATATTGGAAAATATAAAATTTTTGAGTGAAATTTTCAAAAATGAGATCATAAGCTATTTCGATGCTCCTGAACGAGTCGAGTCGATTGGTACTAAAATCATCGGGATCTAAACATTTTTGACGAAGTTATGATCAATTAAAATTTGACCAGAAAAAATGTTTTTTGATACTTTTAAATGTTTGGCCCGACTTATCTTCACAATCTGTGAACAAAATTCCTATTATTTGGTATCAAAAAAATTCTTAGAGTATCATGAATCCAGGAAAAAAAGAATTATCAATTTTCATTCAAAATGAAAAAAGTTATAGCCAAAAGAAAAGCGGCCGCTTATTTGCCACACCCTGTAAATTAAATTTTGAAACAGGTTTATAAAAAAGGTTTATAAAGAAGAGACCGGATCGAAACGAGTTCCGAACGAAAACCTCGATTATCAAAATTTTTCGAGATATCTTGTACAACAGTCCCAGTCCGATCTCTAATACAAACTATCAAAAAATAATTAAATTAAAAAACAAAAGATTGAAAAATCAAAAATTTAAGAAATTTGAAAAAAAAGTATTTTTTAAATCAACTATCGAATTTAAATTAATTCATTTTATTTTCGCTCGATTTTAAAATCCATCCAAGAAATACAGCCAGGACAAACATAATTTATTGAGAAAACAATATTCGGATTCTCAATATTGGCAATTTCATAGCTAGAAGAATATTTAACAAGCCCACATTTAGTAATAAATCGTTTTGTCTTGACACCTTCTCGGTTATGCAAATAATTAAAATCCCAAACTCGTCTCAAATTATCAACTGTAAATTCAATTTTTGGCACAAGAGATGAACAATTTGTTGAGGTTGTAATTTTCTGAAATTTTGTATTTAATAATTTCTGGGAAAATTGTATTGATTATTGATGTAACCGTCTAAATTCATCTTTAGGACAAATTCATTTTGGCTGGCCAATTGTAACACAAAGGAAAATCAAAATTTTGCTTTCAGTCCCTAATTGGCCGGCCAACTTGAATTTGTCCTAAAACGAATTCATTGATAAATTTAAAGTTATGTATTTTAGGAAAAAAACGCTGAGAAAGCTAGCTCTCAAAAATACAGGTCCATGACAACTGAAAAACCATAGAAGGAGAAGGGTCATTTTTAATGTCTGCTCGGTGAACTCCGAATACATATTGTTTATGCGAATAGGTTTCTGGACAGATTGAATTTTGCCTTTATTTCTTACATTTTTGATTAATTCAAGTATTGAAGGATGCAAGCATGAAGTTATACAAACATAAGGAAATTTAGCTCCCTCATTTAAGATATTCAATATAATTCCATTACACTGCCCATTGTCATCATTCAGAGAAAAACCAACAGAAAATTTATCAAAAATCTTCAAATGATCTTTAACAAATTTCAATGCTTCATTCTCAAATTTTTCAATACAATATCTTAAAGACGTTTGTTTTGTATTAAGTTCCTTTACTTCATTTTCAAAAAGTAATTTAATTAAGACGGGATTGAAAATAACATTATAAAATTCAGCTTCTTTATAGCCACAACGAAAAAGTTTATCCAACCAATAACGAATAATACACATTTCTTCAATATTTTTTGGAAATAGAGGCAGATCCAAAAACATATTGCGGTTTAACTTTTTTGAGTCTTTAAAAGATAAATTATAGTCTGATCTCAGCAAGTTGTAGACTTGAACACTTCACCTAAGTGTACACATTTTTTAAATTGAATGGTCATTGGATCGGGCGATACCCAAAACACCCTAGGCGATATCCACATATGCATATGTATGAATCTCATTATAGTTTTAAGCCCAGGTTTACAACTAGCTGAGTCAACTTTTAAATTATATATAAAATAAAATTTACTTTCTTCTTTAGTTAGGTGATGTTTATACAAAAGTATATCAGCCTCGCAAGATCCATTAAAACTCAAAAATAGAGGAATGTGTTCACTCACTGCTTGTTCCCACTTAAATTAATTTTTGGTCTCAATCCATCTCTCAAACTAGATTGAGATTATTATTAAAAATTAATTTTCACCCTTTCCTTGAGATTATCGTTTAATGAAAAGTCATAAGAATGTCGTTTAATATCAATTTCCTGATAATTAATAATATATCGATCTATAACAAATTTATCGACCTTTAAAAATATAACTAATTTTTAATCAAACAAATTTTTTAAACATACAATTTTAATATTAAAATAATCACGTGCCAATTCATTTTTATATTCATTAATAAAGCTATTAAAATAGCGATTGGTTTTTTGGAAAGTTAATAATTGATTGAAATCGAGGTATTTAAAAATATCAAGTTTTACTTCATTTGCTAAGTTGTTTATAATTTTTGTTTTTGTAGGAAGCTTCTGCTGAAATCGAGAAAAAAATTTATTAATACTCAACTCCTTTTTCTCAAGTCCTTTATCAACTTTTTCAGTTAAAGTAATCGATTGGCCTTCATCTTCAGCTTTGGATAAACCATCATCATGATCTACATTATCATTACTTTGAAAAGACATGATTTAGAATAATCAACTAAAAATAAATATTCTTTATCAATACGAAAAAAATCATTAACAATATCTGAAGATATGAATTTAAAAAATAGTCGCAAGAAGAAAAGCTTTTATATGTATAAAAATTTTGGGTAGGGGACGATTCAGTATTTGGGCTTTTTGGCTATAACTTTTTGCTCGATCAATATTGTAGGAATTATTATATATGATTTGATAGGTCTCTGGGTGCTGCATCTTTTTCATAATTGGACTGACATGATCTGATAACTCTACAAAAAGTTATCACTGATAAACGACGTCAAAGGCAGGTTTTCACGCTGTAACTTTTTTGAGATCGTCAGATTAGATCGGGCCAATTATGAAAAAGATGTCGAATCTCGAAACCTTTCGAATGATATGAGAATTATTCGAATCGGTCGAATATCAGGAAAGTTATGGCCATATACTGAATCGGCGGATACTGAATCGGCGATACTGAATCGTCCTTAAAAGAAAAATTTTATTGATAAAAAACATTTCGCCAAAAATATAATATTTGGCTATTTTTTAAAATAAATTATTTCTTATTTTTATTTCTCATCATTGGTTGGAAATTTTTTTCTATTTTCGTAACTTTTTCTTTATTTTTAGACAAAAATTTTAAGTTTTTATTCGACAATTCTTCAAAAAATATTCTTCAAAAATGGCGCAAGTTATGCATATTTGGAGAAATAATCCAAAAAATGCTACTCCATACCTCGAATCGCTCGGTGATCCTCAGAGACAAACCTCAGAAAAGCAAATAATTATCGAAAATTTGGATGATTGGAAAGTTATTACGGCTACATGGTTCGAAATGGCACAATATCTAAGCGTTTTGGAGACTCTAGCCAACGACCAAAACTTTGCTGGAAGAGGAAAGGCTGCTCTACTTTGTTCTAAAGTTGCTTATTGTTTAGAAAACTACGAAAAGGCGCTTGCCTTTGCGCTTGATTCTGACAACAATTTTAGTTCAACTCCTCGACAAGACGATTTTAAGGAGCATGATAGCTTGGTATTTTTTAAATTTTATTTTTAATGCGTCCACCCCTGAAGATCCGCACTCTTAAGAACTATTGCTGAAAACATGAATTTTGGGAGGAAAAATCAAGGGATTAAGGTGGATAAATGATTACAATCTCTGGTTTGTAGATTTCCTTTCAAAACTTGTAAGTTTTCTAGGTCAAAGGTCTTGGTAATTCCAAACACTGTCCCCTCATAATTTTTCTTCCCTAAGTTTCCCTAGACTCTGAATGGAAGGAGATCTCTTCTCCTGTCAATAACACCAAATCCATCGATATTCCCTTAATCCCTTCAAATCCCTTGATATTCCCCTCTTCATGGTTAAAGGTCTTTAGAGTGTAGGTCTTCTGAGATGACTCGCTTTTAATTAATTCTAAAAAAATTTTCTAGTATGTCAATAAAATTATTGAACAAGCTCTCGATACCTACAAAAAGAAGAGAAATCAAAAACTCGACGTTGAACCAAAATTGGCTGCTCTAATTGATCGCATTTTTCAACAAAACTTGGAACGTCGCGATTTTAATTCAGTGATTGGTTTGGCTTTTGATACTCGACGAATTGATATGGTGGAGACTGCAATTAAATCAAACGAGGCGCCAGACAAAACTCCTGTAATGATCGAAACGCTCAATAAAGTTTGGGAATCCCAATTGGATATTGAGTTTAGAACTCTTGTGCTGGACTTGATTTTCCATATGTTGGATGCTGATTTGCAAATTGAAAAGAAGGGATCGCAAAATTTGGCTTTGAAAGTGCTTTCGATATGCCAGGTTTTTAAATTTTTTTGTTTGTTTGGTTTTTCCTTATGGACATGGGTTTCTTAGGTTGTTATTTTTTCTTTCTAATTAACCTTTTATCTTTGATGAACTGAGGATTTTCGTCACTCCATTATAGACGGGGGAATTTATCACTTTAGCTATGGAGGCCTACTTTCTCGCTGGGGTTTCTTCCCTCTGTTTTCTATTTTCAATTACCCTTTGAACTTCTTAATGGACGCACTTGTTACTCCCAGATGGACTGAGGATTTTACCACTCTTCAGTCTTTTCCCTTTTCCTAAGCTTCTCTTCTAAACTCACTAAATTTATTTCTTTTTTAGTGTTTGATCAAATTAGAACGTCCTGCCCAAGTTGCACAAATTTTTAATAATCTTTTATCAAAGGTTTCCTAATTGATTTTTTTCTAATTTCACCAATTTTAAGAAAAATACTCTCGTTGCCTATCAACTTGCTTTTGATCTTTACGAAAATGCGCCTCAGGAATTTTTGGAACAACTCAAGGAACTTTTATTCAAAAAAGAAGATTCTCCAGAAAATGAGGAAACAAAGCCTTCCCCAGAAAATAACAATTTAAAGTCGATACTTAGCGGTGAAGAAACGATTAAACATCATATGCAATTTTTGATAAAGAATAACCACACGGATATGTTGATTTTGAAGAATATAAAAGATGTAGTCCGAGGATCCTGTGCTCATAATGCTACTGTTATTGCTAATGGTTTAATGCATACTGGGACGACTTGTGATGATTTTCTTAGGTTTAATTTAATATTTTAAATTAGAGTATCACTCCTTCCACCGAAACCCCGACGATTTTTTAGGCAAAAACCCCCCACTTTGAAGGCCCATCGCGGCAAACTCCTGTCCACGAGACTCTCGACCCTTAAGGGGCGGGGTGCTACCCTATTTTAAATTCAATATTTTCTTTATATGTTTTTTAGAGAGAATTTGGATTGGATTTCTAAGGCGACCAATTGGAATAAATTTAATGCTGTTGCATCACTTGGGTTGATTCATAAGGTTTTTTGATGATTTCAGAATTTATTTTATTTATTTTCCTCAGGGACATGAACGCGAAGCTCGAAAGATCCTCGATCCTTATTTGCCCAGAGGGGATGTTGATCCATATGGCTTTAAAGAGGGAGGATCGCTTTATGCATATGGTTTGTTCATAATTTCCTAACCCATTTCTAGCAGGACCTACACGGCGTTGGGCCCCAGGTGTCCACTCTTTTCCACCTATTCGTTTTTGATATTTAACAAATATACTTATTAAAATATGTGAGCAAACGAAAATTTTGGTCGGTATCAAAATTAGGAGATTGAACGAGTGATTTTTTGCCTATTCCCGGCTTTTCTGGGTGTTAAAAATTGGCGTTAAATCATTTTTTAATTATGACATATTAATTTAATAAAATTTTAGGTTTAATCCACGCAAATCATGGCAATCAAAGCGTCATTAACTACCTCACTGATCAATTAAACAAAGCCACTACAAGTGCTGTTCGTCATGGAGGATGTTTGGGTTTGGGATTAGCTGCATTGGGAACTCGTAGTGTCAAAATTTATGAACATTTGAGAGAATGCTTGTATAGTCAAAATGAAGCTGTTTCTGGTGAAGGAGCTGGAATTGCAATGGGATTAGTTTTGGCGGGTTCGATGAACCAATCTGTAAATTATTTTGTAAAAATTTTAATTTAAAAAACTCTAAGGCTTTTGATGAAATGCGAAGCTACATTTTGGATACTCAACACGATAAAATTCAGCGTGGATTGCGTACTGGAATTGCTATGTTAGCTTATGGAATGTTGGAGAAAGCTGAACCGTTTAGTTTTTTTTCTAATTTTGAGGAAAATTAATTTTTTTTTAAAGTTGGATTGAGATTCTTGAAAGTTTCCATTCCGAGTCGATAATGCGACAAACTGCTGTGTGCATGGTATTTTTTGATAAAAAATTTTTTTTTAATTCGCATTTAACGTGTAGATTGCTATGGCTTACGCGGGAAGTGGAAATGCTGAAGTTGTTAAACGACTTTTGGAAAAAGTTGCTGCGGATCCTAGTAGTGATGTTAAACGATTTGCTACAATTGCTATTGGTTTTGTTCTTAGCGGGTTTTTTAATAAAATTTTTTTGAATCGATTTGAATCACTTTAGGAACCCCGAACTTTGCTTGAGTCATACCGGAATGTTATTTGAACACTTTAATGGTCATATTCGTTATGGAGCTGCTATTGCGTTAGGAATTGCTTGTGCTGGATCTGGATATAAGGTTAGATTTTTGTGGTCGGAAAATTTTGAGTTTTTGGGGATTTCTAAATGGGACCCTTCAATAGAGCAAGGGCGTATCCAGGGGGTCGGTTTCGGGGGGGGCTAACACTGGGTGGGCGCAAAAATTTTTGGCGTTTACTTTGGCGTTCCTACGGCAAATTTTTTTGTACATAACTTTTTATATTTTCAGCGCCGCAGGCGAAAATTTTTTGAATTTTAGAAGGCCGTAGGCCAAAAAATACACTTTTTCAGCGCCGCAGGCGAAAATTTTTTTGAATTTGGAACCGAAGAAGCCAGATTTCTTCCTTTTTTTAGCGCCGCAGGCAGAAATTTTTTGAATTTGGAGGGCCGTAGGCCAAAAAAGTTTACTTTTTAGCGCCGCAGGCGAAAATTTTGAGGATTTTGGAGCTCAAGAAGCCAGATTTCTTCCATTTTTTGCGCCGCAGGCGAAAATTTTTTAAAATTTGAGGGTTATAGGCGAAAAAATTTCACTTTTTCGACCATCCTTCTCCTAATTTTTTCCCCCTTTCCCCCATTTCGGGGGGGGCTCTAGCCCCCCCCAGCCCCCCCCTGGATACGCCCTTGCAATAGAGTAGTTAGGAGGTTGGAGTAAAACACACCTGTCTACGACGCCCTGACGCCTCTTTCATCCCCTCCCATTTTTGAAAAAATGAAAAATATTCTTTAGGAATCCGTTTCTCGTCTTGAACCTTTGTTGCAAGCCAAAGAAAACTTTGTTAGACAAGGAGCATTAATTGCTTTATCTTTTGTATTAATACAACACACTGAGTCTACATGTTCAAATGTTGTCGAGTTTCGCAAGACAATTACCAAAACTATAACTGAAAAGAGTGAAGATACAATTACTAAGGTTTGACGAAGGGAATATTTTTTATTAACTTTGAATTTTTTTAGTTTGGCGCCATTGTTGCTCAAGGAATTTTGGATGCCGGTGGACGAAATGTCACCCTTTCCTTGCATAACCGTGATGGACAGCCTGACATGCCTTCAGTTTTGGGAACCTTTGTGTTTTTACAGCATTGGTATTGGCATTCGTTGACTCATTTTATCTCTTTGGCTTTTCAACCAACTTGTCTGATTGGACTAAATAAAGGATTAAAGGTTTGGATTTTCTTTGGGAGTTTGGTAATTTTTTAAAATTAGATGCCCAAAATTGTCTTTCGATGCAATACCAAGGCTTCTTACTTTGCTTATCCTCCACCATTGGAAGATAAGAAAAAGGTGGAAGTTGAAAAAGTAGAAGTAGCTGTGCTCTCTACAACAAACAAAAAGAAGGGAGGAGAAAAGAAGAAGGAACAAGGTTGTGTTTTTAATTTTAGAGAAATCAATAATTTTTCTTTTAAAGAACCAGAAAAAATGGAAGTTGATGAGCCTACGGATGAGACACATTCTGATGATAAAGAGAAGTCGGATGAAAGGTTTGATTTTTCCTTAAATTGGGGGCTGGGAGTTTTATAGCTGTTTAATCGCTAGGTGTCAGGCATGTCACGGGTTAACTTAAAATTAGACCCAGACTTTTTTCTGACCCGAAGTCCGATTAGAAAAAATTTTTAAAATCTGACCCGAAATTCCTCAACTTTCTCTTAACCCGTGACATCCCTGCTAGGTATATAGGAGACGTATTTGGTTGCGTAAATGACTTGAAAACTTGTCGGCGATAAAACCTTGATATAATATCCTCTTCTATGTATAATTTTCTTATTTTTCCAGAGTTAATAAAGAAGCAGTTCAAGAGCCTTCTTTCCACAATATTTCAAATCCAGCTCGTGTAGTTCGTCTTCAACTACGTAAATTGTCAATGCCAACTGAGGGATCTCACTATACGCCAATTAAATCTATAACGCGTGGAGGAATAATAATGTTTGAGCGTTTAAATGAAGACGAAGAAGAGGAATTAGTTGAGGCTGCTATAGCTGGAGGTATAAGTAGTGATTCTGGTGATTCAAAGGATGGAATGAAAACAGTTGCCCCACACGAACCATTTAATTTCTCATTGTTAAACTATTAAAAATATTCGGGTGATTTCTTTTTGTGTTGTAAGGGGGAGACAATATGTGACGATTATAAAATAAAATTTCATAAATATTTTTTGAATAATTTGTTTAAAGTGTTTGTGTTGTTTTTGACATTCTAAAAATATTTTTTAAATTTATTTTGGTTATACCTCAAGGTACCGCCGAGCTACTATAACTACTAGTGATAGGAAATTTTGAAAAACCTGGAGTTCCTCGACTCTGGAGTTTGATTTATTGACCTGGGCCGGATCCTGGGCCTGTAGTCCAGGAAAAACCCAGAAAGGCCAAAAAATGCCTGGGCCTGCACCCAGGCTGATCTCTAATAGCTACGTTCAAAAATGTCGAATCCGGGACGCCCTGACTCGGTGAGGTGCATCGAACCATATCAGGGTGTTTTGGATTTTGGCAATTTTGAACGAAGTTATAGCTCGGCGTTACCTTAGCCTGTTCCTTTTTTATTTAAATTTTTTAGGTTTTAAAAATTAGATTTTAGCTAGTTTTTAATGTCTCTTTCAAACAATAATGATGAAAATGGTGAACAGGATTTAAGTGATGGATGGTCAAAAGTTGAAGATGAAGGTCAATCGAGTTCGTTAAGTGATGATATAACTAGACAAAGTTTAAATGTGACTGGAGAGAGTGACAAAAGTGTTAGAAACCAATCGACGTCATATTCGTCGTCAAGGGCCAATAGTTGGATTGTAAGGTTTATTTGGATTTTTATTAGATTTTTTAATTTTTTGGGAGTTTCTCTGTATAATGAGCTACTAGAGATTGAGCTGGGCCTAGACCAATGCCTGTGTTTTTCCTGTACCCTTCCAGGTATTTTTGATCATCCTGGGGTTTTCCTGGACTACAGACCCGCCCCAGGTCAGTAAATCAAACCAGGGACCCAGGAGCAGGCCCAGGCTTTTCAAAAATCTCGATCTCTAATGCCTACTGGTCTGTATAGCTCTTCCGGTACCTTAGTTAAATGCTCTTTCGGTACCTTAGTTAAACGACTATTACGGCGCAAGTAAGAACCGACTTACACAAAAAATCATTTTTAAATTTAATTTAAATTATGAAAAAAAATTTTTTCAGAATCTTCTTGGAGTTCGAAACAAACCAGACCCCCTCACAGACTGGGATAATCTTTACAATTTGAAAAACCAATCATTATTGAGAAAGGATTGCCAAAAATTAATACAACAAAGAAGCAATATTTCTTCAAGATGGACTGTGCCTGAAATTGAAAGCCTTATGACTTTATATTGTAAAAGACGAAATGTTGGTTATGAACAAGACAAAGGATGGTTAGAAATACTGGGAAAATTGTTGGAATTCCCTTTCGATAAATGCAACCTTTTTAATGTTTTTTGGGCTATTACAACGAAATATATTCCGAGGTTTGTTTTGGATAGGAGGTTTTAAGAAAATAATCTTTGACAGGATTTAGAGCCCCACTCCCTAGTTACGTGCCTGTTTTTCTGGTTTACTCATGTTTCTTATTGAGTTGTTTTATTAAGGAGACTTTTTCCTATAAGTTAGGTTTTTACTTGCTTTTAAGTAGGTGTCTTTCGGGGCTTTTTTGGGGGCTTACGGATAGTTTTCTAAAATTCTGATATTAATTTGAATGTAAAAATCCGAAGAATTAATTCAGCATTCTTGCAAGGAAACATCCTGAACTGTAACCATAAATTCCACAATTTTTTGCATCATCGTGTAGAGCAGGGTCGATAACCTATTGCTAATTTTTGGCTTTTTAGACCCTAACCCCCAACTCGGAAAATTATAAAGCTTTTAAAATTTTCGTCCTTTAGAGCGGCTTTGGTTACACTTCAAGATGTTTTCTTGTTAGGTCTCTCTTTCTTAACATTATTTTTATTTTTAACCTAAACCCCCCCCCCCCCTCCCGTAACTCGTTGAATTTTCATATTTTTTAAGATCACCAAAAATGTTTGATTTATTACGCCTTTTAATGCAATACCATGACCCTCAACTTTGCTCATTTTTGGATTCCTTCAAAATTCAATCATCAGAATTTACAAGTTTTTGGCTTCGGACTTTGTTATGTGTAAATATGGATGATGATTTGTGTAATTTACTTTGGGATAGATATTTTGAAAAGGTTTGGGGAATTTTTAGAAAAATTTTCAAAAAAAATTTTTTTCTTCTAGGGAGACCCTTTCCTTATTTTCTTCGTTTCTTTGGCTTTTGTACAAAGTGTAAAGGATGAAATACTTTTATTAACTGAACGTGACAAAATTCTTAATTTACTCAAAGATATTCCAAGCAAAATGACAAGAGATGACTTAACTGATCTACTTGAAATTTGTTCTGTTCACTTAAATTTGACACCGATTTCCGTGCGAGAGGTTTTTTAAATTAATTAATTGATGTAACTAAGGACGGGTTCTTGCCAAAAAATTTGAAATTAGGAGAGAGTTATGATATTAGCACCGGGAAGACATCGATCCTACAACCTTTTATAAGTTATTGCTAGCTGTCTTTGCTCACCATGTACTGGTGCTCGACTGAGCTAATGGAGCGATGCTTCCTTCTCCTTAACCCCCCGTCTAGTTAACGTTTTTTTCTTAAACACCTATATTTCTCTGATTCTTTTGGGCCTACCATTTTTTAATGCCTTTTGGATCTCCTTTACATTAGGGGAATGAAGAGCAAAAAATAAATAAGGCAAGTGAACTTCCAAGTGCTATTGACCCAAAGCTATTGACCCAAGCATTTATAATTAATTACATTGAATGCCAACATGGAAAAGCAACTTTAGAATTTTTATTCCTTTGTTACGCCTATGAAATTATTTTTTTGAAATATTAAAAAAATTTCTTTAAGGATTTTCATTGTATGCTATTTGGCTCAAACTTACTAGACGAATGTTCTGAACAGCCTTTAAATCGACTTATTTGCCTTTCAATTTCTGCTCAAGAGCTTTATAAACGTGCTATTGACCCAAAAATTACAAATTCAAATTTTTCTTATTTTATTATTGACACTCGACCACAAAAAAGTTTTAATGCTGGATCTATTTCTGGTGCTTTTAATTTAAATGCTGAAACGGTAAAAATAAAATTTTTTTTTAATATTGAAAATTTTTTTTAATTTTGAAAAAATTTTGAAGATTTTTTTAAGGAGAAGACTTTTTTGAAAAAAAGTCTTTTTTAATTTTTTTTTGAAAAGTTTATTTTTAAAAACTAATAAAAAAATTTTCCCAACAAACTATTTTTTATTTTTCAATTTTTTTTCAAAATATTTTTGAAAATTTCAAAAAAAAATTTTTATTATGTAGATTGTTGAAGACCCAGACAAGTTCGGCTTTGCAATGTCGTCACTTTTAAAATTTAAAACTGAAACTTGCCCTAAAGACCACATTTGTTTTGTCGGTTCTGGACATGAAGAAGAAGACCAATTTATGTTTATGGCTATTTCTCGTTTTCTCCATCAAAATTTAGAGCACATTTCCTATGCCGAGGGAGGATATAAAGGTTTTTTTTAATTTTTGGAAGAAAATTTTTTTATTTTTAAGCTTTACATTTAATTCTTTCTGAAACTGGTAATTTACAAAAATTGAGTAATCACTTTACAAAAAATGACTGTATTGAATGCAAAAATGGACCTATGACTGCACAACCTAAAAGTGAATGGAAAAAGGTTTTTTATAAGAAATTTTGTTAAAATTAAAAATTTTTCATGCCTTTTGTAGGCCTATAACTATCGAAAATTACTCCGTAGCTAAATTAAGTCAAAGTGGTAATAGGTTCTGTCTACCGAATGATATCAAAAAAATGTCTGAAATTGTTACTCGGAGTTAGGAGTAGGGTTGCCGTTTTCGAGTCGGGCCGACGATCGAGTCATTTTTTCGGGCCTCATTTCTATCGAGTCGGGCCGGTACGAGTCTTTTTCGGGCCAAATATCTTAGGTCTGACTTGATCTTTCGGTCCGAAGCGGGTCATTTTGGCAACCCTAGTTAGGAGGCCCCTTGTAAACTGAAATTTTCTGGTCTTTTATATTATTATGGACTACCATTAAGTCATCTGTGCGGATACCTCTCTAACTCTATCGGAATTTGGATAACACAGAACGAGGTACCGCTTGCCTAGAGGACCCCCCTCCTCCCAACCGTTTGCCCAATTTTTTGCCCAGCTTTCAAAAATCGTATTTACAAGCTTAATGTCAATACATATTTATTAAACTTATTTTAGTCATTTTTGTCATTACTAAAGAAATCTGTTCAAATAAAACAACCAAAAGAAATTAATACAAAAGAGAATAAATCTGGTTAGTTTTTTTGGGAAAATTTTTTCAAAAAAATTTTTTTTTAATTTTCAAAAGATTTATTAAAACATGTCAGCACTTCAGAAAGAATTGGAAATAAAAGATATAGAAATATTCAATCAGTATTTTCAATAAATGAAGAAGAATCTTTAAGTTCTGATGTTGATGAATTACAAATTTCTTCTCCCTCACAAATGAAGGCAAAACCAAAAGAAGGGGAAAGACTTAAATGGAATGAAATTATAAAAAAGGCAGAAATTATTGAAAATTTTGAGGGAGAGGTTTTTTTAATTGAAAAAAAATTTTTTTTTGAAAAATTTTTTTAAAAGGAAGTGTTTGCACTTGAAGATAGAACTTTATTCCAATATTCAAGTCCATCTAAAGATAATCGAATACCTTGTTATATAGCTTTAAGGTTTGGAATTTTTTATTTTAATTTTTTTTTCTGGCATGTTCAACTAGAAAAAAATTTTTTCGAGAATTGAATTTTTAGAAAAAGGGGGTGATTTTAGAGGATTATATTTAAAATAGAGTTTTCGAAAATTTAATGTTTTGTTTACTTTTTGGTTGCCTTATTTTTTGATCTTTCCCTAAGTTTTCTTATTTTTTAAAAGGGCTTTTTAAAGCCAGTCATTCAAGTGATTAAACGAAGGCTAAACAAAAGAAGAAAAATTGAAATTTTCAAGCATTTTATAGAAAAAAGTATCCGATAGGATAATAAAAAAATTTTTTTCTTGATTGCTTTATTAATATTGTGCAAACATATCGGGACGAATATCGGCATTGGGATAACAAAAATAATTTCTTGCGTGTTTACGTTTGTTCTAAAACATAAAAACTTTATTCCTCACTCAGTAGGACAATATACTATCCAAGACCCAGTGACCGTAGGTCCCGAGATCAGTAGGGTAACTGTGCGTACATTGAAATATCCCGATATGTCCGTCCCGATATGTCCGCGTGCCTTATTAATAAAAATAATTTTTTTCTATTTTTTAGTAGAACACATATGCACATTTTTCACAAAGTGGACATTAATGTGAGTTTTGTTTTAGAAGTCTCAAAATTATTTAAAAATTATTTTAACAGGAAGGAATAGTTTGTTCATCAATGAGACATTCATTAGCTAGTATATTAAAAGTAACTAGTAAACGAAGATTTCCTGAATTTTTGACATTTAAATTTGGATATGAATTACCAACTGGAGAGTAAGCTTAAAAAATAAAATTTTTAAAAAATTTCAAAAAAATTTTTTCCTTCTAAAGGACACATGTCAGTCATGTCCATTATTTTATTCTTCCAAAAGCCGGAGAGTGTGCAAAAGCTGTAAAGATGGCAATATTGGCATTAAAACCATTTGCTTTTGATAGAAATCAGAGTTGAGAGAAAATTTTTTAAAAAATAAAATTGGGTTGATTTTTAAGGATTCTGTCTCTTATTATCTTTATTTTTTAGTATTCGGTTAGTAATTCTACTTTTGACTTTTTTGGGTTTTTTATACAATCTGACTTCACTTATCTATTAATATGGACCAGGGATGGGATGGGTTGAGAAAAATTCGGGTAGGATTTCGGATCGGGTTTTCAAAATTTTCTTCGAATCGGGTTTTGGATACCCGTCCCATGTCTGTCCTTTTACTATACGCCCCTTCATATAGTTTACTCTAACTCAGAATTTTAAATATTTTTTTGGTACCATTCGATAAAGGACCTCTGACCTTTAATTGTGAAGTGAAGTTGGATTTTCTATTATTCTTTCTAATAATAATATTAAAAGCATTATCTTCATAATATTCAATCTAATTCTGTATATTTGCAATATTTTAAAAAATTCTTTTCTGTGATAATTATGCACAACGAGACAATATTTTTCTTTTTCATGGTTAATTCACTAATATATTTAATCAACCGCAACACTGCTCCATAAAATTATAGCCCCTCCTATATTTTTCTTGGCTTCAATACTGTAACCGAGATGTTTTTTTTAGACTTTTTTGTAATAATAAATAGTGCTCAAAAAGTATGTTTTAAAAAATTTTTTCAAATCAATTTTTTCGAGAGTTATAGGCAAAAATCCCCAGTTTTAGGGTTCCACAGATTTATTGGAGCAGTGTATATTTTTAATAAAATTATTCAAAATTTAAATATTTACCAGAATTATTTTCTAATTAAAAATAAAAATGCTCTTAATCTTTCTATAACGACGTCCACGGGCAGAATTTTGCCGGCATAGGAGGGAGAGTCATGAGATAGTGAGTCTAAAAAGGTTAAAAACATCCTTCGGGGCCGATTTCTCACCCCAAAGCAGCTCTGAAGAAGACTTTGAAAATCTTATCTAATTTGAAATCAGACCATATTTTGAAAATCTGACCATAATTTTTTAGGTTTAATTAAACCCAACCTGGCTTTTTTCTCAACCAACGTTTCTTCTTTCTGGGCCAGAAACGTTGCGTCGTTTAAAGAAATAGTTTCAGGAGAGACATAAAGTTAGTTATGTGATAATGCAAGCTAAATTATTACTTTTAGGTTTTATTTGTGTTGGCTTCTACTTTTTTTTGATAATAAAGAATTTCTGTGCAATTATTTCGATGATGACAACAAGAGGGCAGATCTTAATGTGTTAGGTAATAAACAAAAAGACATGTTCATTGAGTTTGCAACTGGTGAGGAGAGTAAAGCTAATCATTGTTATTGAAATAGTTAGGTTTTTTTCTCGTTGAAAATAGTTTGGTGTTTGTAGAAATTGTTCGGACTCTTAGTCCCAACCAGGGGGTGGTTCGCTTCACCTACCAGTTGAACTCCAAAACGAATTGGTGGAAATGGCCAAATGATATGAAGAAGATTCGTCCGTCTCGTGCTCGGTAACTGAAAGGGCTCGTCCCTGTGCCCATGGCTTTGTGACTCAAGCTAAAAAAAGAAGTGGATGGAGAAGCCTTCAGCCTACAAGTCGAGCTTATTTGTCACATCAAGAATCAAAAGATGAGGACAACTGGTCATTTTGGAATGAATTCAGAAATGAAGAAATTGTAGCAGTGCAATTCGTGCGTCTTCAACCAACTACTGCCTAGGTGAAGCGGATGGAAATCTTCTCTGAAAATCTTTTGCCTGACTGCGAGATCTGGCACAATGAATAGCAAGGTGATCAAAATGCTCCTTGGGAAGGCTGATAGACCAGAGCGCCCGGCTCTTCGCGCCAATCAGATAGGTGGGGAGTTAATTTAATAAACCGTTTAGGTGATGAACAGTCAAGAACGGCCGAACTTCTCCTTGATGATGTGCCACGTGTGGTCTTTGCTCAAGCGCCTCCGGGCACTTGAAAGACCTACACAGCTGCTTCAATAATGGCTGCCATTATCGAGCGTGACCCCGAGGCTCGAATTCTTGCTCTCTTATTAATTGCGTCTCTTAATCCAGTGTAGTTTTCTTCCCAATTATTGTTAATTATTGTAATAAAGATTATTTTCTCATTTAAATTATTAGGTCTCTTATTAATTGCGTCTCTTAATCCAGTGTAGTTTTCTTCCCAATTATTGTTAATTATTGTAATAAAGATTATTTTCTCATTTAAATTATTAGGTCTCTTATTAATTGCGTCTCTTAATCCAGTGTCGTTTTCTTCCCAATTATTGTTAATTATTGTAATAAAGATTATTTTCTCATTTAAATTATTAGGTCTCTTATTAATTGGGTCTCTTAATCCAGTGTAGTTTTCTTCCCAATTATTGTTAATTATTGTAATAAAGATTATTTTCTCATTTAAAATATTAGGTCTCTTATTAATTGCGTCTCTTAATCCAGTGTAGTTTTCTTCCCAATTATTGTTAATTATTGTAATAAAGATTATTTTCTCATTTAAATTATTAGGTCTCTTAGTAATTGCGTCTCTTAATCCAGTGTAGTTTTCTTCCCAATTATTGTTAATTATTGTAATAAAGATTATTTTCTCATTTAAATTATTAGGTCTCTTATTAATCGCGTCTCTTAATCCAGTGTAGTTTTCTTCCCAATTATTGTTAATTATTGTAATAAAGATTATTTTCTCATTTAAAATATTAGGTCTCTTATTAATTGCGTCTCTTAATCCAGTGTAGTTTTCTTCCCAATTATTGTTAATTATTGTAATAAAGATTATTTTCTCATTTAAATTATTAGGTCTCTTATTAATTGCGTCTCTTAATCCAGTGTCGTTTTCTTCCCAATTATTGTTAATTATTGTAATAAAGATTATTTTCTCATTTAAATTATTAGGTCTCTTATTAATTGGGTCTCTTAATCCAGTGTAGTTTTCTTCCCAATTATTGTTAATTATTGTAATAAAGATTATTTTCTCATTTAAAATATTAGGTCACTTATTAATTGCGTCTCTTAATCCAGTGTAGTTTTCTTCCCAATTATTGTTAATTATTGTAATAAAGATTATTTTCTCATTTAAATTATTAGGTCTCTTAGTAATTGCGTCTCTTAATCCAGTGTAGTTTTCTTCCCAATTATTGTTAATTATTGTAATAAAGATTATTTTCTCATTTAAATTATTAGGTCTCTTATTAATTGCGTCTCTTAATCCAGTGTAGTTTTCTTCCCAATTATTGTTAATTATTGTAATAAAGATTATTTTCTCATTTAAAATATTAGGTCTCTTATTAATTGCGTCTCTTAATCCAGTGTAGTTTTCTTCCCAATTATTGTTAATTATTGTAATAAAGATTATTTTCTCATTTAAAATATTAGGTCTCTTATTAATTGCGTCTCTTAATCCAGTGTAGTTTTCTTCCCAATTATTGTTAATTATTGTAATAAAGATTATTTTCTCATTTAAAATATTAGGTCTCTTATTAATTACGTCTCTTAATCCAGTGTAGTTTTCTTCCCAATTATTGTTAATTATTGTAATAAAGATTATTTTCTCATTTAAAATATTAGGTCTCTTATTAATTGGGTCTCTTAATCCAGTGTAGTTTTCTTCTCAATTATTGTTAATTATTGTAATGAAGATTATTTTCTCATTTAAAATATTAGGTCTCTTATTAATTGCGTCTCTTAATCCAGTGTAGTTTTCTTTCTAATTATTGTTAATTATTGTAATAAAGATTTTTTTCTCATTTAAAATATTAGGTCTCTTATTAATTGCGTCTCTTAATCCAGTGAAGTTTTCTTCCCAATTATTGTTAATTATTGTAATAAAGATTATTTTCTCATTTAAAATATTAGGTCTCTTATTAATTGGGTCTCTTAATCCAGTGTAGTTTTCTTCTCAATTATTGTTAATTATTGTAATGAAGATTATTTTCTCATTTAAAATATTAGGTCTCTTATTAATTGCGTCTCTTAATCCAGTGTAGTTTTCTTTCCAATTATTGTTAATTATTGTAATAAAGATTTTTTTCTCATTTAAAATATTAGGTCTCTTATTAATTGCGTCTCTTAATCCAGTGAAGTTTTCTTCCCAATTATTGTTAATTATTGTAATAAAGATTATTTTCTCATTTAAAATATTAGGTCTCTTATTAATTGCGTCTCTTAATCCAGTGTAGTTTTCTTCCCAATTATTGTTAATTATTGTCGTGGACAACTCCACGTAAACATATAAAAATATATTATTAACTAAATACATTCCCACGATCTTATCTTCTTCCTATTTCCTTTTAATTACACCTTGTTTTATTTATTCTTGCTGCTCACTTCTCTTATTCACTTCAAGTTTTGTTGGATTTAAATTAAATACTTTTTCTCCTTATTTTTTATATAAAATTTTGTTCGTGCTTTAAAATAAATAAAATTGTTTTCTCTCGTTAAATTAAAAAATTTAAATAAATTTGTGGGAGTTAAAGTCAATAGCTCCTACAAAAGTGGTGCAACGGCTAAACGCAAAACGCGAAGCCAAAAACTGAACCAAAACTTAACTAAATTTTCGCAAGCGCAAAAATAGCCAAACGCGAAAAAATGAGCGGACCCATACGCCAAAGCTTAGGACCCGCAAAATCAACTCTCATTCGTGCAATCGCAGAAGCAAAAACGCTTTTGGATGAGAGGCCAAATCAGAATGAGGAGATTGAAAACTGGACTCATTGGGTGCAAAAACTCAAAAATGCTAATTCAAAGCTATAGCGGACCCTTTCCAGAATATCAACCCTCACTGAAAATTGGACAAAAGTAATCGTCCAATCACAGCCTGAGCAAGCAGAGAGAGAAAATTCACTCTATGAGGCTGTGGCAGGAGGAGAAGAAGGGCTTTTGGTAAAAATCGAAGAGGCGAACGAACTAGCGGTTGACCTTGGCACCTCCATAGAAATTGGAGAAAATGCTATAAGGCAAAAAAGTATTGACTCTGACCGCGCCTCATCCATTCGTCAAGCGACGCCAAACAGACACTCACAAATACGCTTGCCCAAAAATTCATTACCGGAGTTTTATGGCGATCTAAACCTTTGGCCATCCTTCTGGGACAATTATCGCTCTGCCATTCACGAAAACGCGCTTTTAACCGATATAGATAGATTCAACTATTTAAACGGTTGCGTTAAAGGCGAAGCGAAAAAATTAATTCAAAATTACTTTATAACGGAGGCAAATTACCATATTGCAATAAACAAACTTCGCGAGCGATATGGGGATGAAGAGCGCATTAAAGCAAATTTGCGAGCAGAATTAAGAGCTTTACCTCCAGCCAATAAATTCATAAATTCTATTCGATTAACAACAGACAACATTGATCGAATTATTCAACAACTACAACAAATGGGAGAAAATATAAATCAATCATTCATTACATCAGTTATTGAAGAAAAACTACCTAAATGGATTCTTCTTGAACTGGAAAAAGCTAAACAAAAAGCTATGGCAAGATGTGAAGAAAGCGACGATGATGAACCTTTTATATGGGACACAGAAAAGGTACTTAAAAAATTAGCAAAAATCATCGAACTGCACGAAAAAGTGAATAGAATGCCTCAATTAGAAAATAAATTCAAAAATGAAAAGAGGCTAAAACCCGAAAATAATTTTTCGGAAAATGCGTGGGTATTTTTTAACTCAAACGCGCAAACAAAACAGAATTTTTCAAACAAAAATAATACACAAAAGAGCAAACCGCAATTGCGTAAACAAAAACAAGAGCGCAAAATATTACCATGCATTTTCTGTAATGATGAGTCACACAGAAGCACAGCGTGCCAAAAATATTCAACAGGAGAAGCACGCCAAAAAAGACTCGCAATTTTGAAAAATGCATTTGGTGCTTTAAAGACGTAAATCATAATATTTGCCCCGCAAAATATAAATGCAGATTATGCAATGGGGATCATAAAGACATTGTTTGCAAAAAATTCGCTATGGAAAAACAAGCGAGCGAAATAGTCCAACAGCACTCGCTTGCAACGCAAAACAAGGCGCAAAATGACATTCTTTTAATGACACACCAAATATCTGTCCTAGCAGGAAATGGAAAGGTTGTAAGAGGCATTAAAGCATTCATCGACCCAGGTTCCTCTAGATCATTTATTAAAAAAGAATTGGTGAGCAAACTAGCTATTGATTTAAAAGAAGCGCCTGAAATAACAATAAATGCACAAGGGATGTTCAATCACGCAACTTCATTCCCAAGTAAAAGTGTGCAATTAAAACTAGGAATTCGAAAAAATTGGCGGCAAAAATTAGAATTTAAAGAATTTCGATTTTGCACTGCCGAAAAAATCACTGGAAAAATAGCTACAGCAAAGCTAACCGATCGCGAAATACACTTATTACGCAAAAGGCCAAAGCAGGAAAAAATAAACATTCCTACAGAGAACTACGAAGCAGAAATATTAATAGGAATGGACCACTTCTGGGAATTAGTCACCAACATAGAGCACTTACCCAGAGGCATTTGCATAGTTGAAACACTATTAGGTCCAATAGTTTGCGGTAAAATTAATTTAAAAAACGCAAAACGCTATTAATTGCTACGGTAACGAAAATGTTCTTACTTATGGACTTTTCGAAAATTTAACGGATCAACAAAAACTTTACGGCCTGGAGGGCATTGGCATTACTGATTCGCCAACTGAAAATGAGGACGAAAGCGCGCAAAACCTATTCGATAAAACAATTACTAAAAATGGAAATAGTTATTGCGTCCGCCTACCTCGACGCCCAAACGCGTCGCCATTACCTACAAACAAAAATCTATGTTTAAGTCGCTTAAATTCTACACTGCGCAAATTAAAAAGCATAGAAGATCCGCCAAATTTATTAGAAATGTACGATAAAACATTTACGGACCAATTAAACGAAAAAATAATTGAGGAAATACCCGAAGCAGAACAAGAAACAGAGAATCTATGCCACTTTATACCCCATCAAGCGGTTTATCGACAAGATAAGAAAAAATTGCGCATAGTTTTTGACTGTTCGGCTCACATTAAAGGTCACCCCTCTTTAAACGATACATTATATCGCGGCCCAGTATTACTGCCAAAGGTAGCAGCCGTTCTCTTACGCTGGCGCCAAGCCAAACTAGTAATAGCCTGCGATATTAAAGCTGCATTTTTAATGTTAGAGCTGCACAAAGAGGATAGAGATCTAACACGATTTCTTTGGTTAAATGACCTAAACAAGCCACCTACGCAAGCCAACATAAAAATAATGCGCTTTCGGCGAGTTCTCTTTGGAGCAGTTTCCTCTCCCTTCTTGCTAGGAGCTACAGTAATACACCACTTGAGAAATTCGGCAATCGCGAAAAAATATCCGGAAATTGCTAAAGAAGTGGAAAATTCTATTTACATGGACAATATATTGCTCACAGCCAACTCCGAAGAAGAAGGCAGAGAAAAAATTAAAATTATTCGCGAAATTTTTCTAGACGCAAATATGGAATTACGCGAATTTCTGGCTAATAATGAAAATGTCCTAAGCGAATTAGAGGAAACCGCAAAAATAGCACCTCACAAAAAATTTCTCGGGATCAGCTGGAACAACGGGGAAGATACAATTAAATTTACATTTCCTAAAGCCAATGCTGTAGAATGGACTATGCGAAAAATTCTCCGTGTCCTAAACAGTATTTTTGATCCACTGGGACTGCTCTATCCCGCCTCACTCAAAGCATGCATATTCTTCCAATCACTCTGGGAAATAAAATTAAAATGGGACACACCCCTACCAGAGGAGAAACAAATAGAATGGATGGAAATAGCCAAAGAGTGGGAAGACGCGGTCATAGAGCTACCCCGCTCACTTGGCATAAAGCAAAATCATTCTTCGCAAATACATATTTTTTGTGACGCTGCACTAACTTGTTACGCAACCGCCGTATACATACAAACAATAAGCGATAAAGAAAGCAAAACAGATTTAGTATTTGCAAGAAGTCGCCTAGCGCCAATAAATTCAAAAATTACTATCCCGAAATTAGAATTATTGGGTATAGTTATAGGCGTTCGAGCGGGCAACTTCATTAAAAAAGAAATGGGATTAGAAAAAGCAAAAACAATACTTTGGACCGACAGCGAAATAGCGCTTAGCTGGATTGGATCAACCGAAAGACAACCAGTATTTATTGCCAATCGCTTAAAAGAAATTCGAAATCATGACATTTCTTTTCGACATGTCGGTACCGCTTCTAATCCTGCTGACCTAGCCACGCGAGGGATCAAAGCTAAAGAGCTAGCCTACGCAAAAAATTGGTGGTATGGTCCAGTTTGGCTAAAAAACGAAAATGAATGGCCAGAAAAAATCATTACCCCTCCAAAAGACGAAGGGGAAGAATTTATTGCACAATTCGCACTGCCTAAAGTAGAGGAAAAGAAGCGGCCAGAGATCGATCCTGCTCGCTTTAGCAGTTGGGAAAAAATGTTAATGTGCATTATGTTTATTCTTCGCTTTTTAAAATCATTTTTAGCATTAAAAGCTCATTCTTATAAAAATAAGCTATTAGAAAAATTCTCAATCAATAAGGAATTTAATGCTTTAGATTTTAAAATTGCTGAAATAATCTTATTAAAAGAAGCGCAAAACCGAAGCATGCTTACCTCCAATGACAAAATTAAAAAAGAATACTCGCTTTTTGAAGATTCAAACGGCATATGGCGTTCTAAAAGCAGACTGCAATGGAGCTCCCTACCGCGCGACTCTATTGAACCCATATTCTTGCCAAAGGAGGATAAATTAACGCAACTAATCGTATTAAGCGTGCATAAAAAACACTTTCATTCTGGAGTACAATTAACTCACTACTCCCTTATTCAAAAATTTTGCGGAATCACAAAGCGAAGCATACGCAAAATACTAGGGAAATGTCTGGACTGTAAAAGAAGCAAATTACTACCGTATACGCTCCCGCCATTTCCTCCATATCCAATAGAACGCATGCAAAAATCGCAAGTATTTGCAAACATTGGATTGGATTATCTAGGCCCCACACTAGTTACAATGCCCGACAACAGCAAACACAAGCTTTGGGTATTATTAATAACTTGCTTAGCGACCAGAGCAGTATGGCTAGATAGCGTTTTAGATTTATCAGCAAAAACATTTCTAAACGCATTACGCCGGTTCATAGCAAAAAGAGGCCGACCTAGCTATATATTATCTGATAACGCAACAAATTTTCATCTAACGGCGAAAACATTAGATGAAATCTGGGGTAAAATTATTAAATCGTCCGAAACAATGAATTTCGCAGCAAAAGAAAAAATAACTTGGAAATTCATTGTGCCGCTATCTTGCTGGGAAGGAGGCGCTTATGAAAGATTATGCGGACTAGCAAAAAATGCATTTAAGCGCGCAGTAGGCAAAAGAATCCTCCAGCTAGACGAAATGAATACAGTCATTTCGGAGGTCGAAGGTATCTTAAACTCCCGACCTTTAGTTCCTATGGATGATAACCCAGACTCGGTACGCACGCTAAGACCATTCGACTTCCTTTTGGAAAGCGGAGAACCCGGACTCCCTCCAATAAAAGATAATGAAGAGGAAGAATGGAAACCGGACTTAAGCGCGCCTGAAAAATTATTAACAACATACAAAAATTCTCTTCGTATTCAAAATAAATTCTGGAATACTTGGCAGCACGAATACTTAAATTTTCTTAAAGAACGCCGACAACAACGCCATAAAATGAAAGGAAACAACACTATTCCTAGAATTGGTGAGGTAGTTTTACTAACAGATGAAAACACTCCCAGGGCAAATTGGCGCTTAGGAAGAATTTCGGAATTACCACCCGGAGATCCGACATCTATTCGCTCTGCCAAAGTATTAATGCCGAACGGTAAAATTTTAAAAAGAGCTCTAGCGCACCTAGTTCCGCTTGAAATAGGTGGGGATGAAGAATCGCTTCCCCAACAAAAAGAAACGCAAATAGAGCCACAGAAAATCGAAGAGCACCCAAAAATTAACAGAGATGCCAAAGAAAAAGCCAGGCAAAAAATCAACGCTAATGCTTACGGCTTAAAAGCAATACCTTTCTTAATACTATGCCTGCAATTAATCGCTTGTGCTAACGCAACCAATCTGCGCACGCCGCTTTTACCTTACGAATGTGAAGCGGAAGGGCAATTATTACACACGGAAAGCAATTGCAATTCGAAGGGCATTTTAATTTATTCTAAAACTGGAAAAGACCCTCCGGAATTATGCTATAAGATAAAATCCTGCGGTGAAAAATTTCTTACACCAGTATCAGGGGGCTGGAGCTGCTTAGACAATTGCGGTAAATGTCCCGACTGGGCAGCAGGATGCTCGCATACAAATAATTACGTGATATACGAGCAAGCAAAATTAAATAATATAGCATCTCCTGAAAAATTTGAAGCAGATAATGATATTTCTATTCTAATTCCTACAATTGAATTATTTAATGGAAATATTCACCATGTCCAACAATTAAAAATTCGAACTATAGACGTATTCGATAAGGATGAGGTCTGTATTGGTACGGGAGCAACAATTGGAACCCCGCATTACTGTTCGGTACATGACTGTCTAACATCCGGAACACGCTTTTGCTACTACCCACACCGCGAAACCACGCTTTTTATTTCAAAAGACGTAGAAATTCCTATAAAAGCATGGGGGTATAAACGCATACATATTAACGGAACTAATAAAAAAGCAATTAGTAAATGCGCAACATGCCAACTAAATTGCGAAACAACAGAGATTAAGGCAATTTTTGAAGAAACTAAATTTGCAAAAATAGAAATTTGCTGCCCACCCTATTGTTTTAGTTTCGAGGGAGTAGAATCACCTAAACTAGTCACTCTCCCTAAGGATATTTTATTGAACGAGCACACCTGCTCAATGCAGCTATGGACGACAAAAAGCAACCCAATAAATAAAATTTTTGTAAAATGTCCAAGCGTTAAATTTTGCGAATTAATAAATTGCTATATCTGCACAGAATTATTAGCGAATCCTGAATGCTGGCCAATTTACGCAGCAATAATAGGAGGGATACTAATTGCAATAATACTCACTTGCTTATTCAAATTCTGCCTTCTATTAAACAAAATATGCACTACAATTGCTGAATTGGTTTGGTGTATAAAAACAACACTGCGCATTCTAAAAATTCTTTTAAAAGCACTAATTAAAATTCCCTATTTAATTATGAGAAAAATAATTGAAAATAGGCTTAAAAATAAAGATCAGCAGAAAAATAAAGCAAAAAACGACGTTGAACTAGCGGAAATTAAAATTGAAAGACAACGGGAATTCAAACCATTCATTCCTTTTCGGAAAAAATTCGGGGCCCGAGGAACAACTATAAATAAAATAGTTGTAATATTGGCTATAATACACGTAGCTAACGGCGCTTCCCAATTCGCTTCTTTTTCTGCAAACGAAGAAGATTGCATTAAAATGGAAAATAATCAAACTAAATGCCATGTTAGCCACGAAACCATTTTAACGCTAACCCCTAGTCATCGAATCGCGCAATTGCTAATCAGGGGATCAAATAAACTGCCAATGGGTATTGTGGACATAACAATAGAGGACATAGTAGTGGAGTGCCAAAAATCTTCAGAATATTTTTCGCGCAGCCACGAAATAAAAACCTACTCTAGCAAACGCTGCCCAAAGCAAGGTAGTTGTACTGGCAATACATGCGCAAATACAAAACTAGATTCGAAAATACCTGAGTTAAAGGCTGTAAACGACTTACCAGGTAACACCTTCTGTATTGACAGCTGCAGCTTTTTAATGTGTGGATGCGGATTTCCAACAACTTCCTGCATTTTTTACCGCTTGCACGCTGTAGAAAGGTCTAAAAAGATTTACGAATTCTTTAATTGTCCTGCCTGGCAATACGCAATAGAGCTGGCGATAAAAAGGACGAACGACAAAGGAAAAACCCAAATAGATAAAATCCGGCTATATAATGGGATTTTAACAGAAATTAGCGGTCTAAAATTGGCAATTAACGCAATTACTAAAGCACCTACGCCAATTCTCGCCACGCGCTTTCTGACCGATGGTGATAAAGTAATGATCGCAGACCATTTAAATTCTAAATTATATTGTGCCACGCAAGGTGAGGCAGAGTCATTCAGCGGATGCCAACTAGACGCGGACGCTTGTAAATGCTCAGTTACCGATCCTACAGTTACGTGTCAATGTAAAGATGGACGATTGGATAAAATATTTCTAGAAAATCCAGCTAAAGTCCTACCTATTATTTCTCAAAACTTTGCGCTCAAAAACGAGAAAAACCGCTTATACGCCTCGTTACCGCATGCATCCATTGAATTGCAAGTATCCATGGAAAATTATCAGCTAATTGTTACACATGACAGGGTCAAATGTGAGATAAGCCCAAGCGCATTAATTGGCTGTTATTCATGCATAGCGGGAGCAAGTTTTGATTTAAAGTGCACTCCTAGTTTTGGAAATGGAGCGCTCGCACATGTGTATTGTGTCCAAAAAAGCGGCAAAAGCTTTGAATTTTCGCTTTTCTGCAATGGACAACACAAAATACCCTTAGCTTTAGAAAATGCGGACATTTCGGCAAACTGCACGGTAAATTGTCCCGCAGGGGAAACACACTTCCAGCTAAAGGGAAAGCTAAAATACATAATACAACAAAATTGGCTTAGCTTGATTCACGCACAAAGCACTCAAGCTCTCGCGGAAAATAGCATAGACTGGGCTTTTCTTGGCTACTTCTTCTTAGGCCTGCCTCAAAGTCTTTTTCTGCTTTTAGCCATATTTTTCGCGATTATTTTCATAATAATATTGTTTCGCGTAAACCCAATTCATAAAATTTGGAAATTAATTTTTAGAATTGTAATTATTTTAATTATTATTACAAATTCTAATTCTTTAAATAATTCAAATAAAATGAACAACGAACAACTCTCGAATATTTCTCCTGCTTCTTCGCCAACAAATTCTGAAAATTCATTAATGTATTACGGTCCTGCCCCACCACCATTAGAAGCGGAAATTGTTTCCTCAGCAGCACCAAATGAACAACAAGAATTACAAGAGTGGTGGGTTGAGAAAAGTAATAAAGGCATACCAAGCGCCCAGCAGAAAAAAGAATACGGCGTTGCAGCGGGTTTCAAAAACGCGAGGACTACTTGGAAGATTGTAAAGAAAAAGCCAAGAAAATGCCGCCGTTATTGCGCGCTGTCCAGACTTTACAACTCGCAGCGGTAAACAGCCAAAAAGAAGCTGCTAGAGTTGATCCGGAAACCGGAAAAATAACGCGTCCCACAACAACAACAGCAGAAATCATTAAAAATGATTCAAATGAGTATGAAGGGCGCGGGTTTAAATTAGACCATGAAGGCTTGTCGCATAATGAAATAGAGAAAGTGGAAGGCTTGCTAAAACTTGGCGCTGAATTGACTAAACAAGCTCTTATGCTGCATGCGCAATACAAAAGAAGCGCTAGCATGAAAAGAAAAGGCGAAATTGCGATTGTAAAGACCCGAAACGAATTAGAATCTTCTTCTAACATTAATCAACAAAAATATTCTTATTCAAATCGCTACAATCCTTACAAACAACAGAAAAATTGGAAAAACAACGATTTGAAAAACTGGAAATGCAATGCGGAAGAAGGTTACGAAGGATTTGGGAAGTAAAAGAAATACAAAATTAATAAAAATTGTTTTTGATAAAAAATTAAATTTTGGCCCGGGAATGTCGTGGACAACTCCACGTAAACATATAAAAATATATTATTAACTAAATACATTCCCACAATCTTATCTTCTTCCTATTTCCTTTTAATTACACCTTGTTTTATTTATTCTTCGCTGCTCACTTCTCTTATTCACTTCAAGTTTTGTTGGATTTAAATTAAATACTTTTTCTCCTTATTTTTTATATAAAATTTTGTTCGTGCTTTAAAATAAATAAAATTGTTTTCTCTCGTTAAATTAAAAAATTTAAATAAATTTGTGGGAGTTAAAGTCAATAGCTCCTACAATTATTGTAATAAAGATTATTTTCTCATTTAAAATATTAGGTCTCTTATTAATTGCGTTTCTTAATCCAGTGTAGTTTTCTTCCCAATTATTGTTAATTATTGTAATAAAGAATTCTCATTAAAGTTTGAAAACCCGAAAAAAATTTTTTTCGCCAAACCCAAAGCCCGTACGCGAAATTTTTGCCAACCTGAAATAATCATTTTATAACTCGAAACCCGTACCCGTTATTTTTGCCAACCCGAAACCCATGACCTGAAATGAAAACGCTTCAACCCGATACCCGTACACGAAGATTTTTCGTACTCGCGGCAACACTGATATGCTTTATGGGTTATGAAATTTTATTTAGTTTCTGAAAAATTTACATTTATACGTGAAGAAAAATTTTAAAAATTAGAATTTTCTCCAAAGTTATCGTCATACATATTTTTAATTTTTATATTATATCCGTGTATTCAATCATCTTAATCTTTGAATTGAAACAACTGGAGTAGTATTTATTCCCGGAAAGAAAAATTTATTGATGGAATTTTTGTAGACTTTGCTAAATAATGTTAAATTTTAAATTAATTATTCGAATCAACAAAGAAAATGTTTTATAGCTCAAATGATTGCCTTTATATACTGACCTCTGAAGGTCTCGTAAGGGATTTACATTAAAATAGCGTTAGGATCGTTTTGGCGCCGGCTCTAACAAATAATTAGGCAAAACTTTAATTCATTAAATTTTTTTCAAATTTCTTTAACATCCTTAACTACCTCCTCCAGAAATTTCAGAATTTTTCATCAAATATTTTTAAAGCTATGGTCGATAAACTCGAAAATTTAGGCATATCTACTAGGAGAATCGGCATTTTTGGCAATAATTTTTTAAATTATTGCTTAAAAATTTTGATTTTTTTTGGAGAACATAGATAAACATACGATTGCTATATTGCAAAATTATAGCCTTCTAGCTTGACAATTAGCTATTTTAAGATCGAGCCTAAATGTCCCCCCGCCAAAACAAATAGTCTCTTAAAAATATCCAAAACAGGGTTGTCTTTTCCGTACTACTAAAATGGGGAAAAATAGAGCGAAAAGATCAAAAATAGGGAAAATGCTCTATTAATAGGTAAAAAGACAACCTTGATCCAAAATCCTATTAGATATGCCTAACTTTATATTTTCCAACCTGCAACTATAAAGAACAAAAGTATTGGCAACCCCAAGAAAAGTCAAAGTTAAATCCAAACAATTCATGATTATAAAAGCTACAGGGTAGGGACTTGAAAATATCACTTTAATTAATTGACGGTTAATAGAAGTACATATCCACCCAAAAATAATTATTAATAAAATAATAATTAATGATTTGTGAACTCCCTCCAATTTTTTAGTATTATTTTGGGTAGTTGGAGCATTTTTTCGAAAATGAAGTCGAATAAATATTAAAATATAACAAAACACAGCTGCAGCTGTTAATGTAAGACAAACAGGTAAAAGTATATTTACATAATTACCATTCCATAAATCACCAATGTAACAACGTATCATTCTAAAAATTGATATTTTAAATAAAATTTTTGGCACTTTCCTGCTATCTTTATTTCCTTTTTACTTTAATATGTACATAATGGTCAAACTATCTTACTTACTCAATTTCACTTCGTTTCCCTGTGGAAATATTAATAAAGTAAAGATAAATCATTTGAAATGTCATCAAGTCACATCACTCAGAGTTATTGTACAAAAGCACAATACCAGACAATAGGATTTAAAATACAGAGCTTTGTATTTGTCGCCATAGAGAAAGGTCTATGACACAAATTAGGTTTGCAAAAAGATTTTAGTTTTTATGTGAAACGAAGTGAAATTGAAGAAAGAAGTTTTACCCTTCTGTACAGCTCGGCAGTACATTCGTCTCGCGGTACGTTGGGGTGTACCCAGAAATGAAAGTTTAAAGGAAATATTTTTCTATATTAAAAATTTCAAACGTTTGGTCACTATTCAAAGGATATAGAACAGCAAAATAAGAAAGCAAAATTCCAACAGTCAATGAAATTGTACAAATCAAAGATAAATAACTTTTAATACGCAGACCTAGATGCCTTAATTTTAATTGATAAACTTAAACTTTAAGAGAATACGGTAATAGTGTCATTCAGGGCATTATTTTTTCTTCTCCAAGTTTTTTCTTAAATATGTACAGAATGCTCAGACTTTTCCTTTTCTTGCATTCAAATTGCCTTTCTTATTATACGAAAGAACTGAATAAAAAATAATCCTTTTGATTGTTTTATGCAAAATTTAGAAAGGCAACTGGTTGGAAGTAAGAAATATGTCTGACCATTCTGTACATATATTGTAAAAAACCTGAACAGAAAAAAGGAGACCTGGATATGCAATAATACCAAGACTAATATTATTGAAATTGTCGTTTTGGGAATAAACAGGCATTCAACTTAAGTTCTCAAACTTTGTTTTACAGACTAATATAAAATCCGAATTTTTTGGTTCTGATTACAATTTTTGGTCTTTTTTCTGCTATTTTTTTGTTCTTTTTCTGTTCTGTTCTATCTTAAAAAACTTTTTTGTTCTTTTCTAAAATTTTCTGTCCATTTCAAAAAATTTATGGGCCCGTTCCAGATATGACATATCCGGTTATATCCTCTTTATCCGCTATATCAGACAAGTTTTGAATTTTATGAAAAACGCTGAAACATGTCAAATGAGATACGAATCAAGCTTTCGAATGGTATATAGAACAAGTATATCCATCAAGCGACATTTATAAAACCCCCTACGAGAGAACGTATGTACACCCTAATATAAAAGGAAGAAATTGAAAAAAATACCAAATAGGGAAAAATACAGAGAGTAGACGATCAAAAGCAATAAAAAATACAAAAACAAAAGACATATGAAAAGCGGTTAGAGGAACAATATTAAACCATAAACATGCATTTCTTGTTAATTTAAATTTTCCATAAATTGCATAAAGAATTGAGGCAATTATGCCTGTGGAAGCAACAATCATATCATAAAATGCATTTAACCCAAGTAAATAAAAACAACTTGAATTGAGTGCTCTTAATGGTTACATAATAATTTTAAAATAAAATTCAAAGGTTCTTGTGTAGTTCACCCCCCATAAGCTCCGTCACTTATCTTCAGACATCCTTCATATAAAAAAGAGTGGAAACTAGGAATGCAGCAAAAAAAAGGGGAGGTGTAGTTTAACTTATCTTTGGGTAGTTTAACGAATTTTTGGGAATAGAGAACTCGACTAACCCTGAGTTACCGTTCACAATAGTCCTGGATCGTAGATTATAAAATCCATAGATGGGTAGTTATTAGTAGAGATCGGACCATACCGTACTACGGCTGCATTTTTCGGTATTTATCGGTATTCCGTATCGTTAGTACGGTACGGAATACGGTACGGAACAAAATTCAGATCTCTACTTATTAGGTAAACTGAAATAAAAAACATGAAAATATTGACCCAAATGGCATTTAACAAAAGAAGAGCGCTGAAAAGAGGGGAGGGGATTATGGCGAGGTTTATGAGGGGAAGGGGGAGCTACACAAGTACCAAATCTAAAGTTACGTTCTGAATTTAATTGTGATTAAAACAAGAAATCCATTAGAAGATACAGAAAAAATACCCAGAGATAACAGCACAAGTATATCTATTACAACAAAAGTATCTTGATAAGCAGGATATTGAAAGTATGGAGAAATCTTAAATATGGTTTTATAAAATATGGATATATTTTAGCAGGTGGATGGTTCGAAAGCCCTTGAAATATATATCTCCCGTATCGGAAACGCCTGTGGAACGAGATATATATGTCCCCGAAAGTCGAATAACCATAGGGGGAGTAACAGAAGGCTTAGCATTTAGAGGGGCTTTCAAACAGGCTAAGGTGCAGCCTCATTTTTTAATTTAAAAACTTACAGGATGTTCTGTTCCATTTGGATTCCACGCTGGTGAACTCATTTGTCTTTGTTTAGTTTTTAATTTTCGAGTTTTTCAAGTTTACTTTATGGTTGGTTTTTAGATTACTCGAAATATGCCCTAAAATATAAGGGAAACCATAATTATTGTACACACTAGAGTTGGTACCGGTACCGTATTACCGCGGTATTTTTACCGAAATAACGATACCGAATAGGGTACCGCACAGTTTTTAAAAAATCGGTATTTTTTCGGTATCGGCATTTTACCGAAATCGGTATTACCGCGGTAATACACACTTTAAGAGGCCTTAAAAGTCGCAATTTTTCTCCAATCTACTTTATTTATTTTCTAAACAGGATTATTTTATTAAGGAAGGATTAAACCATAGCTAACATTCCAATTTATATTTTGGTAAAAAATAAAATTTTTAACTTCGTTTTAAAAAAAGTTATGCTTTTTCATATATAAGGAGAAATAAGAAAAATGGCATATCGTATGGTCAAGGAGGCGCTCCCGCTACCATGGACACCTAACAACCTTCTTATGATCAGGGCCAAAAAAGTCCTTTTTACTTCCCTTTTATATTTTAATAAGTTAGCATAATTATACAGAAAGTATATAATTAACCGCATATATTTAATGGGAAAAAATAAAAAAATTTTAGAAAAGTTTAATACAATTTTAATGACATATAACTAATTAACATTGTTTATAAATTTGTTATAAATGTGCCAATTAATGTTTAATATTAATGAAAAGTACATAATTAATGGGAAAATAATTTTTCTTGAGTTACTTTAAGCGTAAATAATTTCAAAAAAAATTCGCGTCACAATAAATGTAAACATTTATACGGTACTCTTATAGTTTATCTCCCCGCATTTTCTCTTATTTTGCTTTTTCTCCTTCTGCCCAAAATTTTAAGTCACTTGCTTTCAGATACCTCATGTTGCCTCATTTTTTAATTGGAATTTTTTAGCCTTGCATTGCGTGTTCCGTCATCCGTTTTTTGAGATTGTCTCTTGCGCACACCCAAGAACACAAACCCTGTACTCTGACACCGACGATTTTACCAACAAATCGCGGCTCGTACCAAAAGCAACCCCGACCCCGAACCCTGACATGCTTTTTTCGGCAAACTCCGTTCCCCGACACTCCCGACCCAGAAGACTCGGGGTGCTACCCTATTTGAATGTATGATATCTGTTTATCTTAGGAGGATTTTTTCTCGAAAATTGTATTAAGTGTATCCTGTAGAAAAATTTTAATTACTTTCAGATTAGCTTAAAAATCTAAAATTTCTAACTTGTAAAATCTTCCAAAGTTGGGAAAATGTATAATAAAGTTTTTAAAAAATTAATTTTAAATTTATTGTGGATGGCCAATCAATTTTATGTGGACGGCCAATCAATTTAAAGAATCAAAAATCTTGCCCCTCATACATTCCCCCTCTAAATTTAAATTTTTTGTGCTGGCATTTTATGTCCTTCGGCGCCCCATCCTCTCTCCCCTCGCTACTTTTGTCGCTACACTTAAAATTAATTTTTATTTAAAATTTCTCAATATTTTTAAATAAAATTCTTTTTAAAAATTTAAATTAAAAATTAAAAAAATTTTATTTAACTTCCTTAATTAAGGATTTTTAAGGATAAGCGTTAATATTTTACCTGCAGCTACAATAATGCTCTTCCATTTCATCTCCCCCTTTTTTTCGTCACAAGCACCTCTCTTTTCGGTGTCCAGAAATTTGGGCATAAGAAAGTCGGGCTCCAAGAATTTTTGGGATTTTGATCTCTAGCAGAGTTTTGGGTTTTAATTGAAAAAAGCGGAATATTTGGCTTTAAAATTTTGGGCTCAGGCGGAATTTTGGGCTTCAAAATCAGAAGAAAGCAGTTTATAGTCCAATGAAAGTTAATTATTCAAATCATAGTTTAAGAATCCAATGAAGGTTTATGAGTCCTATCAAAATTTATGAAATAAAAAATAAAAAATTAAAAATTTTTTTATTTTTATGTTGACTTACTCAAGGGCTAAAAAGGTATAGAAAAGAAATTTTTTATACGCAGTGCGACACTTGGGGACGGACTTTTGCGGACCGACATTTGAGTATCGAATTTGAGGATTGAGGACCGACATTTGAGAATTGCCATTTAAGTAAAAGAATATTAGTATCTTAAAATAGAAATTATCACAAATTATGTACTAAGGGGAATTTGTCGGGGGATGTTGTTACGGAGGATGTTGTTGCGTCAACGGGTGTATTTGTAGGATTAAGACGGATATCAGAACCTTATGTTAAGTTTCCCAGTTAGAGGCAACTATAAGCTTGCATTTGAATGTTTTTCTATGTCGTCGCAGAAGACACATAGACAAAAGACCCAAAACCATTTTTCTTACATTTTTCTTATATGGGGGTTTTTGCTGCCTCGGAGGATGCCAGGCATGCCCACTGCAGCGATAATAGGAATAGGTCTATGTTACTAGTGTAGACGTAGCGACCGTTGATTCCCTGCGATACGCGTTCCGCAACAGCCGACGCCCTTAGATTTACGTTGCTTGCTTTTTGTACCGTAACTTTGACCAATTTTGT